AGTGACTTCTAAGAAATTAACCAAACATTTTTGTGAATAAATCGAGTAATTTTTTGTTTTACTCCCTGGAACATAGTCGGGTAATTCTCTTTCTCTCTCCATCTGTAAGTACAGTTGTCTTTTGCTGCAGTGAGTGACCACTTTGCGATTCTCTGACCACCTGTCGCTCTCACATTGTCGCCCTTCAGACTGTTTGACGTCAGGCCTTCTTTCCTCCCCCCTCCGAACCACGCCATCATGTCACAGAGAAGAGGGGGAGTGATCTGCTTGATCCTCACCTTCCTCCTCCTCCTCCTTAAGTTTCTCCTCATACATGTGCTTTTTATGTTGACATTCGTGCATCAAATCCTCCCTGGATCGACTCTTGAAATATATAATTATATGATTATATATATATCTATAGATAGATAGATAGATAGATTCTAATATATGATATATCTAATATATGTATATATATATATATATATATATAGAGAGAGAGAGAGAGAGAGAGAGTGTAGAAAATTGTCCTCTTAAACTATAAAAGCATACATTTTGTCTGTTTCATATGTGAAAACTTTGTAGACCAGATTTAAAAACCTGAACTCTGAACACAGGTAGAAACTTTAACAGTGTCTCTAATCTTGCCCCACTGAACCCGTGAAGAAGTACAGTTAAATATAACTTAAAGCGTCCCTCCTTCTGTCTGTTATTCTCCAACTGTTTCAGTTTCTGTCTCTCACTGGGTGCCTCTGCTGTCCTGCTGTGCTGCCTGGGTTAATCAGGTTCAGGGCGGGAGGATTAGCCTCCTGTGCCTTAGCATGATTCGCCCAGCCTCTCTAATGCAAAGCTATTATCTGCACTCCTCTACAGACAGCCACAGTCACACAGTGAAGCAGCAGTAACTTGTATTGCGTGTGCTGTCTGGTGTCTATACGTTTCAGGCTCCGTCCAGATCATGTCTGCACCTCTGGGTGTATTTACTACTGTACAGGTCTGGGTCTCAGGGTTAAGCTGTTGTTATTATAAGACACAGTGTGGATGTGCTGCTGTTTCCAGTCAGATTTAGGCCGTCTGTGTACACCATGCTGACCTTTGAGTAAACAAACCCCACGCAAGCATCTATCAGCCCAGGTGGACACAAGCTAAACACCAAAGGGCCTCATTTTCCGTTTGAACACTTTAAGAGAAGTTGTAAACCAAACTTGTGTTTCTGTTTCTGCTTCTACTGAATATGTATCACTTACTGTATCAACGTGATGCATATTTCCCTGAATAATAAATAAGTTAGAGTGTGAAGTTTTCTGTCAGTAAGCACTTTAAGTGAGGGAGTATCACTGCTGCGTTAAGCCTCATGCTGTCAGTTAACATTGTACTGACTGTAAAAACACTCCTCAATGCCTCCAGCCTGTGTTTACATTTACAAAAATCTGTTGTTACAGCTGGCATTTTAATTTAAACTTTCTGTCATTTTCTTTGCTATTTTCATGCAGTGCTTTGTTTTAATTTTGATTTCTAAAATAATTCATTGTATAATATTTGCACAAAGTGTTGTGTCTGTTTGTTAATGTTAATCTTAATTTTTGAAAAGCGGTTTTCAAAAATGAACCAATGTGACAACAAATCACAATATCACAACAATAACATTAACAAATTTAAAAGTGTATTGGACTGGAGCTGATTAAAAGTGAAATAAATAACCTCCCTCTCCTCGTGTTTACAGGTGAAGGTGTGTTTTGATGAGGACCAGCTGGAGCAAGTGTGTGAGTACCCATCAGAGACCTCCATGCTGGTGTGTACCCCCTACCCTCATGACCTGGGGAGGCCGCAAGGAGAGGAGGTGCAGTTGGAGGAAGCTGATGTGGAAGGAGGAGCGATAGTGTCCAAAAGCACAAGTAATGTTGGGACTGCAACAGGACGGGGTCTAAGAGTGGGTCAATGTCATCCCCTTCTTAAAAAACACAATGTGTAATGAGGTTGTTTTGCTTTTCAACATGTCTTACAGACTTTGCCGCTCTCCTGTGAAACTCTCCATAGGTGTGGACTTTGCTTAGGCTAAGATGACAAATTTTTGTTTCTTTTCTGTTTCTTTTCTGTTTCTTTTCCCTTAAAAGATATGAATGGCATTATTCTGTATTTTTCTCCAAATTCCATGAAATGACCAAAACCAATAATTAATTTATCAGACTAAGAAGTATTAATTGTGTATCCAAAACCTCATATAGCTTACTGCTTTGTGCCATACAGCTCCATTGTTGAGCCACACCGGAGCACTGGGCGACATGTCTCTTCATTACAAAGAACGTGAGCACACGTCATAAATACTCACTAGCGCACCAAATAATCTGAAGTTAAAGTTTTGGGCTGCGTGCCACAGATTCAGAAAGTATTTAAGTTTATTTAAAATGTGCTTGTACCAACTGTCTCATAACCTCAGGACATTCAGGCTAATTCAAGAAAGCTATTGATGGTAGAAAAAATGATCTTCCAAGCTAGCTTTCATTAAGCAGGCTCTTTAGCTTGTTCACTAACTTGACAATAAATATATTCAAAATATTATTTGCACCATCAACTCCTGTCTTGTAACTGATCTTTAGATGGCAAATCATTTCATTCAAAATACTTATTGAAGGGGAAAAAATATTTGCAAGCTATCAGGCTCATTAGCTTGGTTGCTAACGGGGCAGTAAGTTCATTCAAAACATGTATTTCACCTACTGTCATACAGCTGTCAGCAATGTACATCATTTAATTCAATGAAGAGTTATCAAAGTGGAGAAAAAGTCAGTTAACTGCTAACTGTCAGCTAACAGTCAGTTAACAAGCTAAATGTCAGTTTTGTCACTACCAGGATAGACAAAGCTAGACAAACAAGTATTTATACTATTAAGTCCTGTTCCTCCATTTCTCATTGGTCAACTCTGTCAACATGGTTTGCTATTTGTCAACAGCACAACTTTGCATCTCAAATTAATTTAGTTGAACTAGACACAAAAAAAAAAAAAAATCACACAGATTTATATGGTCCCCACAAGTGAATCCACAGATGCAAAAGTCTGCAAAATTTCACAATATTAAATGCTGGTGTGACTGGGCCTCAGCATGTTTTGTGTAATGGAGTTTCGTGGCAGTAAGAAAAATGTGGAATAACACCAGTCTTGTCTTTTAAATAGACAAACTGACCAATTTTCCGGTTTTAAATGAAAAAATTAAAAACTAAATTTGGAAAAATTCATGATTGTTGGAGAACAAATGGAATGGTATAATGTCGCATTTGTGGTTCTCGCAGCCATAAATGTCACTGTTGGTGAATGGGAATAAATCAGCTCTAAATATAAGAAATAAAATAGAATAAAACCCTAGATTCACCTTGTTTACCTTCCATCTCCACCTCTCTGTCTTCCAGATGAGTCTTGCCCTCGGTAGAAGCCAGTCATCTTCGCCAAAATTTCCCATGTGATGAGACATCTGTTAAAACAATATTTTGTGATTTTTGTTGTTTTCTTTCATTTGAATAATTGACTTGAGTGTTGACGTGAGTGTTTTGTAATCCTTGTGGTGTTTTGTTTAAATAGCATCATGATGAATGATTGTTGTGGAAGAAATGTACAGTTCAGTTTGATTTATGCAGTTGTAAAAGAGACATAATTGTGTTTACTGGACAATATATTACCTAGTTTATTTTCAGGGAAATTGAGGGACATATATGAATGTATAAGAATGGTACATATTGTAAAAATATTATAAAAGACCCTCAGGTGTGCACTGTTGGGTGATGAAGGATCACTTGTCTATGCAATATAATGAAACTGATAAGATTTTTTTTATTTTTAGTTAATATATTTGACAGTTTCTTCTATGTTAATTACTTTCTAAATTTAAGTCAGCACTGCCTCAGCACAGAAGAGTGATGTTCACATCATCTGGTTTCATGTGCCTGCTGGATTTGCCCATACAGATGATATGAATCAGTTCATGTAGATATTTGACTTCTCTTGTCTGAAGCCTTTCAGAAAAATCTTCTCTCAGTGGGTACTGTGTTGAACAGTGCAGGAACATGTCATGGTGCAATGTGTGTGGCGTCCTATGTCTTATGTGGGGTTTAATTTAGCCTTACTGTTCACAAAAAAGAGGTCTGGTAACAGTTCACTTGTATGGATATAAACTGATATTTTTGTCATGTGGAAGTGGAGAGAGTTGTGTGTGTGGAAGTCCCTGAGAGGAAGAAGAGTGTATAATATAAACAGTTTAATTACCAGATTAACTTTGTCATATTGCAGCTGCTATCTGACTTTTGGCTGTATTACCTTTATAATATAATCTATACAAAATATTTCTTGTTTGTAAATGAATATTTTAATTGGTAAAAGATGTGTAATATGCAAACTATTTGCAAATTCTTTGAAAATATTTTTTTTCTATGACAGTTGAAGAAGCTGGCTTCAAGAGAAAAAAAATAATAAACAATTCTGGGAAAAAAGGGTTTCTGTCTTCTGTTTGTTGATATCAAATAAGGCTGGAATTCCCCAAAATTTTAATTTGGTGAAAAAAATTTAAATATATGAAATATACTGAGGTTTTAAATTCATTTCTCTTCAGAACTTTTCATGACCACATTAAGAGGGGTAATATCATTTCACAAAGATATAATTTGTGTGAGTGTGCCCCAGGGCATTTCTGAAAAAGTTGCCTTTACTCTTATTGCTACTCCTGTGTTGTCCATGGTGTTGTTTTCTCCTGCACTGCACTTACATTTAGTACCAGCAGGAACCAATATTTGATTTATTTACACCAGCTTTTATTTGGACTCTTATTTTCTAGAAGTTTTTTTATCTTTTAAAAGAGTGACACCGAAATGCCATTTAAAAATCCAACACCAGCTTTTGTTTAACAGGTTGACAAACACGGAACTACATTCAGAGCACGACGCCATCCTGAGTTCAAACGGCGACACCGTGTGGACAGACGCGGTAATGCACACGAAGTTTTGGGTCACGTAGCTGTTTACGGAAACATTTTTACGTCAACACGTGTGTGGGCTTGTATGTAGCTTCAGTGCAGTCCGGTACGTGAATATCTGCATGCTCGCAGTCTGAAGAAACAAAACCACCGTGTGGAGTTGTCTGCCTTTTGTCTCATGCACATATGTTTTCAAACTAGGATATATCGAGCGATGACGACGTTCACTCACAGCCACCGTGGAGAAGCAGTAGGAGGAGGGCTGGGCTTCGTTTTGACGATCTGACCCTGTGGAAACTGTGCAAAAGTTACCAGACAATAAACACAGAGCTGCTTTTTTGTCACACAGATGCAACACAGAGTGGATTTGTGATTTAAAGAAACATGATTTTGAGGAAAATTCAACCAGGAACCTGCAGGGCTTGGCTGTCTCGGGTGAGTCGAGTTCTGCTTTTAGAGTTGGATATAGCTGACACATAATCTCATTTACAATGTATTTATTACAGTTAAACAGTACGAAGCCGCTGGGCATGTTCCTGCGGTCACACTTCCTATTTTTGATACGCCCTAGTCGTGCCCTTTTGCCGTTTAGTTAAGCTCTCACGCAGAGTTACTCTACGAACGCTATAATTACACTTTTAAACTTTTTAATTTTTGGCATAACATAAATATATTTCACCCAGTTTAGCAGCAATGTGTAACCCACTCCCTCTCCTTCCAGGTTTCATTGCGGCAGGAGGTGTGCTTCTTCTCCTCTGTGCCCTCCCATCCGGTGCCCCCGCTGGCCCACACCTTGCAGGGTTACCTGAGGGCACTGGAGCCCCTGCTGCCCCCCGAGGAGCTCCGCCACACCCGCAGGATGGTGCAGGAGTTCGGCAGGCCGGGCAGCCTGGGTGCACAGCTGCAGGAGGGGCTGGAGAGGAGAGCCAGACACACCAAGAACTGGGTATGTGTCTCCTGTATCAATGTGGGAAGTGTGACAGGTGTTGTGTGGGAGTGTTTTAAAGTGTAGATATAGCTGGTGTTTGGAGCATTCATGAGTGAATCCAGTAACGTTGGTAACGTTACTAATACTACTACTACTACTGTACATAATCATAATAATAATTATTATTATGATTATTTGTACACCAAAACGATACATTACATTTTTTGGAGCTCTTGTAAATGGGTATACTTGGGCACCAAATAATTAAAAATTATTTGTATGTGTTTTCAGGTGGTTTTAATTATTTAGTATGGGAACGCATTGAGTCTTTCAAGATTAAAAAAACATGTAACAACTTGAAAACATTCAGAAAACATAGACAAGGCTCCACAGTCAATTAATGTGAATTAATTAGTCTGTTGATATTGAAGAATAATCTCATCCCAGCTTCTCAAATGTGACTATTTGTTGGTTTTCTTTTTCTTCACTTATGTTCTATTTGATATTTTAGTATAAAACACAACTTCCTTGGTAAAGATATATTTGCTCATTTGAAAGACAATTTTTTTCCCATTTCCTGTGTAAATCTGAGCTCAGTGTTCCCAAAAATCTGACATCCCTGCTGTGGTTTTGTTCCAGCCATAAAGTTTACACCGACTGTCCTGACAAAGTCTGTTCTGCTGTTCTCTCTGAATAATCATGAAGTCCTTCATATGTGTGTGTGGTCTCTCCACTGCAGATCTCAGACTGGTGGGTGCAGTGGGCGTATTTGGAGAGCAGACAGCCCCTGCCTGTACACTCGAACCCGGCCATCTCTCTGCCGAGAAGAGATTATAACGACTGGAGGAGCCAGCTAGTGTGAGTCAACACATACTGATATGGTCTGCCAACAATGACACAGCACAGCAGAGTAGACACTAAAAGCTGGTGACATGTCAGTCCTTACGCTTGGAGCGATTATTTAAATGTGTTTAAATATACGTCAGGGATGTGGTGATAGTTTCATAGCACAATAAACCCAGTTTCCTACAGAAAAAACATATAAAAACTGCAGCTGCCCAACTCTGTCAACTCTGCCAAGGAGATTGTTTTTCACCCCTGTCTGTTTATTGTTAGCAGGAATATGCAAAAAGTACAGAACCGATTCACACCGAACTTGGTGGAGGGACAGAGCACGGGCCAGGGAAGAACCTGTTAGATTTTGGGGCAGATCCGGATAATTTACTATGAATTTAATATTTTTTCTTTGAAGTCTGGTGTATATTGTTTGACACAGGCCTTGGCTTTTTCAGAAATAGGCAGTGAGATATTAGGTATCACTGAAAAACAGAATTCTGTTATCACAATCAGTACTTTAAAATATGCGTTCTTTCTTAACAAGCACTCGATTTTAAGAGCCTCTTCTGCATGACTGCATTTACATGCAAAGGAACACTAATAGTACAGATACACATATTTCCAATAAATCAATTAATTAATCAGCTTGAATTCTGTTAGTATGAACACTGTTAAACACTCAGCAGAATAGTAAGAGCAGACAAAAAATGCGTGTACTTTGGTGTTGTGTCTTTGTGTCATCAGTTATGCGTGGAGTTGCTTAGCCAGTGTTGCTATGATGTAGATACACACACCTGTTTATTTAAGCCTTTACCAAGATAATTGCATTAATTACATTGAGAAAATGAATTTAGGTAAATCTTAATATTTGGTTGTTTGGGTGAGTTTCTTGCATGTTACCGATGTGATGACGCATCGTTTTCACCTGAAAAACCAGGACAGTGCTGTTTTAGTCCTGCTCTGTTCTGCATTAGTGATCCCTGAGTGTTAATACGACACATTTAATAGCTTTTACTGAATATGAACCGTGATTGATTTCCACCACTGCATGTCCATAACAGGAAATCTGACTGACTGTGTTACATGATAAAATACTGACCACAACATGTTCCTCTCCACGTAGGTTTGCATCCAAACTGATCGCAGCGGTTCTAGACTTCAAGGCCAAAATAAACAAGTAAGTCTTGATTTTATGACTGAGCTGCAGCCAGATAAAAAGTACTGCTAATAAGCAAATCTAAGACAACATTAATGTAGCACTTAATCCTCTACCTGTTTTAAACGTTAAATGTTATAATGTTATCCTTTACCTCAGTGAAAGTAGTAATACCGCACTGTAAAAGAAAGTAATCATAGTGTTATCTGTGTTATATTATTTTACATATAAAAGCACTTGATGAAACGGCGTGTCATGTTTCAGAAGCTCATCATATGTTGTGTCTGAAAAATAATCAGTAAAATACAGAATATACCAAGTAACTGCAGGTGCCAGATAAAAACTAGTGAAGTAAAAATATTTCATTCTGAAATGTGGTGGAGTAGAAGTGCCATGACCTGTGCTTGAGTAAATGTAGCCTGCTTTGCACTGGATCAGATGCATTTCTATGTCACACTGACCTCAGTGTTTGTGAGTGTGTGTGTGTCCTGGAGACACCTACTGTAGCGGGAACTAACAGGTACTTTGGCAAATGTTTATACGTCTGTGGACAGATTTTTGTCAGTGTGATACATCAGAACCGTGCAAGATACAGTCACAAAAACTTCACAGGTGTGTAATTGAGGTCTAAGTGAAGGTCAAGTTCGAAGATAGATGTTGTCCGTTGCTGCTGGTGAGATCCCGTTGCAAGATTGTTAATCTCTAATAATTTTTTTGTCAGTGTCACAGTTCTGTAGGATTAGATGCAGTGAGCATTCGTGAGCACAGAGAGTTCAGGATATTCACTAATTCCAACTTAAACTAGCTGTTAATAGTTATCTGCTACAAACATTAGAGATGGTGATAAACCATAAACCGATTTCACAGCTCTGAACAGCCTTTGCTCAGATGCCACATTAATCCTCTGTTGTCATTTTAATCTGTTGTTTAAACTGTCTCTTTCATTAGCTTCTATTTTAGTGCTCCACCTTTAGCCCTGCTGGCATCGCCTCGTATTTCTCTGCTGTATGAAGTTAATCTTTGTCTAAATTTATTCGCCCCCACTCTGTGTAGCAGGATCTTTACAAAGCCAACAGCGCACTACTGAAACATCTCTGTGGAGAAAACTGTTTTGGCTCAGACCCGCATGAAATATTAGTTATAAGCAGATGTCAGTGTTTGTTTTAGTGTGTTAAAGTTTACCACATCAGGACATTTATAATAGTATTATTATCTGATATATGTATAACATTATGCTGCCATACACACATACAGAAGCAAACGGGTGTAAAGTTTTCCGACTGGACATTAAATTGTAAAATTGAGATTGTGGTGATTTCATTATTTTCTTTTGTAGGCTGATTATTTCATAATCTTTGAATAATCTGTGGTCTCTCAGCTTTCTTATCCATTTTAACTAGTTTGTTGAGGAAAATGAACTTTAATTTGATTATTATTTATAGTTCATAGCTCAGGAATCAAGTGTTTCTTGTCTTAAGTACTATTATATTTATATTTTAATCTAATCTCTTTAATCTGCTTATTAGATTCTAATAACAACTAAATAACAACTAGGGGAGCGTCAATAGATGGTTTTCCAAGCAGGTTTCCTTCCTGGTTTGGTCTGGTTGCATGTTTGGGGTCCTGTGTCCAGAGCAATAAATGAATTTCTTAAATAAAGTCACTATTAACAGACACGTCTGTCTCCTTCTCCCCCGTCAGTGGCCAGCTGCCAGCCGAGTACATGCGAGGGAAGCCTCTGTGCATGGAGCTCTACCCGCTCCTCTTCTCCTCCTGCAGGGTCCCCGGTCCCAAACACGACTACATCGCCCGCCACGGCCGCTCCCGGCGCTCGCCAACACACATCACGGTCGTCAGGAACTACCAGGTACGATGAGCCAGCAGACAGCAGATGATGGTGTCAGATTTATATTTTCTTTTTGTTGACTTGGCATAATCCATCAGGCTGCCTGATCACAGGTTCTACGACATAGCAGTCACGTCAGGTGGAGTTTTAAACAAGTTACACATGCACCAAGCTTTGTAAACAGAAGTCATGTGGGCTCACTAGAAGCTCTTTTATTGGAGTTTTGGCAGCAGCTCTTCCTGTGGGACGAGAGATTCTGGCAGATGGAGGGATCAAAACAAATCAGATCTCAGTCGTCTCAGCTTTCAGCCTGATGGATGGTTAATCTTAAACCTTTGAATTTAAAGTCTATTCCACTTGCAAAATGCCAAGAATGACTTTCAGTTGGCGTTGTTGCTTTCCTTTGGTACATTTGGCACTGATATCATAAACTACACTAACCCAAGTGTTATACAGGCTTGGCCTCTGACACCTCATGCTCAGCTTGGCAGAGTTACAATTGAATTTCTGTGTGAAACTGAAGCATTGGATCCACTAAGTGCTGATGAAAAACTGGGAAATTCTGTTTTTTTAATTGTTAAACTGCTACTTTTTTGTAAACATGGTCATCCCTGTATTATGAGCCCTTATCTCACATTTACTGCTCACAATCAAAAATAATGCAATAAATTATTATGTTAATAATGAAGCAATCTGCATATTATTGTCTTGATCACTCATTTGGTTTATATCGTGTCCAAAAATAGTGATAAAAATGTTGTTTTGTTGAGTTCACAGTGATGTTCACAGTGATGTAAAATCAGAGAAAAGCAGCAAATATTCACATTTGAAAAGCTGAAATCAGAAAATGTTTGGCATTTGTGATCAATAGACAATTAATTGATTATCAGAAAAGCTGCAGTGATTTTCTACTGATTGACTGATTAATTAATCAATCTATCTGTCAGTTGTTTTCTTAATAATCAACCAATCATTTGGTCAACAGAATATCAGAAAATAGTGAAAAACACAATTTTACAAAGCACAAACTGTCATTTTTAAATTTCTTGTTTTGTCCAAGGAACAGTTCTTACCCCAAAAATGTTCAATTTACCATCAGAGCAGAAAAAGAAAAGCAGCAAATATTTACATTTGAAAAGTCAGAACTTTGAGCAGCAGCTCCACGCCCATGATTGTCTGCGGGTCTGTGTAAATCAGGATTAATGAATGTGGACTAACGTCTCTCTTTCCACACTTACATGAATTTAAACTGGCCGCTAAATACTCACTGGCGTCTGGTGATGTCTTTTTGTCACCAGTTCTTCCAGCTGGAGGTTTACAACAGCGACGGCTCGCGGATGACCGAGAGTCAGATCCACGCCCAGCTGCTGAGGATCAGGTCTCAGTCCTGGAAGACTGACAAGGAGCCGATGGGCATCCTGACCAGCGAGCACCGCCACACCTGGGGACAGGCCTACAACCGCCTGCTGAGAGGTAGACAGCAGCACTGCACACACTCCCATCAAACAGTTGTATGTAGCATTTACTATATATCCAAATGTACTACTTAACTCCGCTCGAACCCATTAATTACAGCTGATCATTTTACAAAGTGTACCATGACTTTAGTTTATGTTCTACCTCCCAGGGTGCTGCTTTCATTTCAGTGCATTATAATAATTAAACTGCAGAAAAATTTATTTGAAAAAGAAGAAAAGTAAAAATGTAGAGTGATTTTTTTTTTCCTGTCAAACAGGAAACATGTTTAAAAAAATTATTATTTTTTTATTTATATAGCACTTTTTTGTGTGTTTAACAGTATAAACAAAGAATAAAGGTAATACAATCCCAAACATAAAATATACAAATATACCAGATAAAATAATTAAAACATTTACAACAAATACCATCAGTTACCAGATTCTCAGCATGACTTTAACAGAAAAGAAGGAAGCTGAGTTATTGATCACTTTGATTGATTACCTATCTCAAGTAAGTTGTAAGTGTTCTCTTATACCATACTGGCATGAACTGGAACCTGGAAATCAATACCAGTTAGGAAATCAATGGTACGCTTTGGTCAAAGTGTATGCGATTTGTAGTTAATGGGCCAAAATAATCAAAACTATTATTTAGATATAATAAACGACGTGTCCCAGGCAGCAAAAATTCAGATCTGCAAAGGTAAACGGTAAATGTCCTCAGCAGTCAAAGCTTGTGTGTTCTGAATGTCTTTGTTGTGTGTCAGCACAGTGACAAAAAAACAAGAGACACGGCTCCAACTTTAAATGTTGACATGGTTGAATTCTCAGTGTTTGGTTTTATTCTCTCTGTGTGTGACGCAGATAAACTGAACAAGGAATCAGTGCGGCTGATAGAGACAGGACTTTTCTCCTTGTGTCTGGATTCTCCAGTGATGAGGATATCAGATGAGAAGTACGCACACACACACACACACACACACACACACACCCACACACACACACACACACACACACACACACACACACACACACACACACACACCATAATCCACACTCAGGTATGTCTGTGTTTGCTAAATATGTTGGGTAATCCTCTGTGTGTGCTCAGATATAATTGTGTCAAATGTTGACATTGGATCTTAAGCAACAATTTACAATTGTCACTTCCTCCATTTTAAATATCGTCCTACTTTCTACTTGCTGGCAGCTTTGTAGCTAAAGTGTGTTACACAGTTAGATTTGAATAAGGCTGCAACTTATGTTTAGTATCTCATTATATTTTTGATTAATCTGTTGCTTGTTCGGTTTGCAAAACATTAGCATATTAATTCAAATATTCATTTTCCACAGCCCAAGGTGATGTCTTCAAGTAGTTTTTATTGTCTTCAGTTAATAGTCCAAAACCAAAATATTCAGTCTGGTAATATGGCAAATCCTCCGGAGAAGCTGAAACCAACAAATATTTGGCATTTTTGCTTAAAAATTGATTTAAACAATTAATCAGTTATCAGCTCTACGTTTGATTTGAGTTTCACAAATCTTTGATAACTTCAATATCACAAATATTAATTAACTGATAATTAAACATTTTTTCTCGTAATTTGTTTTTTCCTGTTTGTTCCAACTTTGATTGGCAGGTACGCGAGCCGTAAAGCGGCTCAGATCCTGCACGGAGGCGGGACGTTCTCCAACAGCGGCAACCGCTGGTTCGACAAAACGCTGCAGGTGAGCAGCAGGAAGAATCACACACATGAGGAAAGGTTAGATTACATAAGTAACTAACTCTTGTCTGTGTTTGTTTGAACAGTTTGTGGTGGGCGAGGACGGCTCATGGGGTCTTCTGTATGAACAAGCCACAGCTGAGGGTCCACCCATAGCAACACTGCTGGACCACATCCTGGAGTACTGGTGAGGCAAAGGGTTAATAAAGAGTGAGCTTGTCCTGTCCTGATGTTTTGTGGTGTTTTATATTGTTTTTGTGTTGCAATTATTTTCTATATTGGGTCTGAATTTGTCAGCCACCAAGCACCAAATGTCAGTAGAATTTGTCTGGTGGATAGTTTTGTCTTTGGCAGATAAAAGGTTTTACCTGTGACACTTTGAGGTCCTCTGTAATACACAGTCTTCGGCTGGGCCCTGATTTAGTTCATTTGATTTAGATAGAAATTATAAGAAAATCATGTCACTGGTTCTGTACATCTCATCACATTTAGAGTTTTTAAAGTTATTTTTTGCTGGTAAAAAAAAAAAGAATGATTCCTGGCAGGAAATCATTTTATTTGCATCAGTGTTATGGATATTTTTTCTTCAGTTTCACTTTAATACATTTACTTTTCAATTTATCCACAACCTAACAAGCATCAGCGCTCATTTGGTGGACGCTTTTGTCCAACGTGACGTAATATTTTTCTTGTGAAAAAGCGCTGGAGGAAGAGGCTGCATGGTGCTGGCACCGAGTCGCAGGGGTTGTACTAAAGCTGCAGCTAAATGTCTCATTACAGAACAACTGTTAACACGTGCAACACAAAATGCACCGTGATTGTCTCTGTAGTGAAGAAACTCAAGCAGATGTTGTCGAAATGGATCATTATAATATGAGGTGGAAAATAGCTGGATTTATGCTTTGCATCCGACGTACTCATGAGCAAGTAATGTGTGTTTTCTTGACCGCAGTGAGAAACCAGACCCGAAGAGAGCGCCGCTGGTCCCTCTGCCGATGCCCAAGAAGCTTTACTTTCACATAGACCGAGAAATCAAGAGAGACATTGAGCACGCCAAGCAGAACCTCGATATGTAAGCTCTCCCTCTCCTCACTTACTCTCCCGCACTGGGTGGAGTGAGTGAACATGAGGTCTCTGCAGAATATTTATCATGATAAGAGAAGAACGGCCTCGCTGCTTAGTGTAAGCTGGATGTTTGCTTTTCCGATCAAGCAAAGCTGAAGTGAACTTGGCCAAAAGGAAAAGCAGCAGGAGTGTAAACACACTTATCTCCTCCTGAGTTTAATGTAACCTTGATGCAGAGAAAGCTCTCGCTGGATCCACTGCCTTAGTTGCATCACTTGGAAGTTGTTATTGTGATCCGGGCCTTTATTTCCTGACCACAACCCAAACACAACTCCCTCAGTCTGCTGTTTCCTTTAAATCACTGAGCTGTCAGGATGTGAATGCGGAAAACGTTTTTTCTAACATGCACTTGAACTGGACAGCTGTTACCTTGACTTGACCCCTTGTCCCCACTATTTAGCATTTATAAGTAGTATGTAAACGTTTAATGAAGGGAGTATAACAAACTACAATATAATTGCAAGCAGACATACTGTATTTGTATTTGTTAAGAATTTATATGAATAATAATAACAATAATAATAGTAATAATAATAACTTGACTTGCATAGCACATTTCATACAAAGATTGCAGCTTAAAGTTCTTTATAAGACAGAGAAAAAAAAGACTAAAAACTAGCTAGCTACTCATATGTCTCAAAAAATCCAAAATTTATTAAAGTACAATATGAAAAGTGCTAAAAAAAAAACTGAGCAGCATATTAAATACTGTATATCTCTTTTTTTAATTAAAGATATTTACATTTTTTAATTGTAAATGTCTATTTTATATTCATGATTGCGGTGGTACTCATATTTTCTCTTGCTTTATGCACCACAACCTCCTTGTATGTGAAAACCTACTGGATAATAAACCTGTTTCTGATTCTGATTCTGATATCATGGAGTCTAACAACTTGAGGAACACAAAGCCTAAACAAAGCCTCACAGCCTAATTCAGCCAACAGACTTGCTCAGATTGTCATCATCCCTGAATCTCCCCTGCAGTACGACCACCTGTCATCACATGACACCTGAGCAAGTTAATTTGCTGTGAGGGACAGTGAGATACGGCCAAAAGCTTGAGAAAAAGCCAGTAAGGGAACCTTGAGTTTAGAAACACAGGATGATGTTTCTATGAATTTCCTGCAGATTGATCAACGACCTCGACGTCAACGTGTTCAACTTCAAGAGGTTCGGCAAGGAGCTTCCCAAGAAGTACAACCTGAGTCCGAACTCCTTCATCCAGGTCGCCCTGCAGCTCGCCTACTACAGGTCAGTGATAAGACGTTATCAAAAGATTTGGGTCATAGTCAAGCTGTGATTGTTTATATTAAAAGGAAAAATCCACCATTAGAAAACCAACACTATTATTGTCAGTGTCATATTTTGAAAACCCCCTGATTTAGATAATTTCTGTCTGTATTGTTTGTGCTGGAACGAGTCGTGATGAACAAATAAGACCAAGGACTGAAATTATCAATGTTTTTGTTCTTATATTTTACTCCTTATACTTTTTTTTTTTTGTTAGAGTTCACAATGAGGTCTGTCCGGCCTGTGATATTGCTTCTCAGAGGATGTTTAGAGGAGGAAGGACAGAATTTATTCGCTCGCCAACCAATCAGACGCTCATGTTCATACAGGCCTTTGACGATCCGTCTGTATCGGTGAGGAACACGATGATAGCAGGGAATTGTTCCACAGATTTTATTTGGTTTCAGGTTGATTTAACAGTTTGGAAATGTGGAGTTGCTTGTAATCGTAGTGCATGCATTATTTTTGTGTTGCAGCGGGAAGCAAAACTGCAGCTGTTCAGAGAAGCGGTTGATGCCTACACGGCTCTGACTGAGCTGGTAAAAGCCAAGTGAACAATCTCAAACAGCTTCTGTCTGTTTTTAATTGATAAATGCTTATATTCTATTTTTTTTTTTCCTGCTCCATTCAGGCACTTAAAGGACACGGCATTGACCGCCACCTGCTCGGGCTCAAGCTGCAGGCCATCGAGGAAGGACTGAGCATTCCCAAAATCTTCATGGATACAGCGTACGGGCTGGCAACGCACTGGAAACTCAGAACGGGGCAGGTGTGTTCCTGTGTGACAGCGTTTCTATTTGTTGATTTACAGATGGTATTTAAAGCCCTGTTGCAACAGGAAGTGAGAATTGTTTTTTTTTTTCTCCCATCATATGAGAGGAATTTTTCTATCAGCAGTTTCCCCTGTTGTTTTAGAGCATGTGATGTTCTCTTAATGTGGCACATTTACCGTCAACAAAATGCATTTTCGGAGTTTCCAGCAATCAAGCTGCTCCTCTTGTCTTATTTGCTCCTGATTTGGCTTTTAATCATGTTCCTGTAAGCTGAAGTTCATGTGATTTTTATGGCCTGTTGTTATGCTCCTGCTTTTTATAAGTCCCATATTGTGTTGTAGCTACTGTCTTCTGCTGTGCTCTTTCTTAATCTGGTGAATCACTCTGGATCACAGTCAACACTTGTCAGTACTTCACCCTTTCACACTGTGTTCAGTGTAGACTGCGTAACATATCCTTTACATTCAACGAATAATGACACTACGAGCCAACACTTTTTTAATATGCTCTAATTTTAAGGGATTTAATATTTTTCCCATTTAACCAGTTTAAAAATGTTTTGTTTGTAGATTTGAATTTGTGAGCTGATGCCAACGGGGTGCAGAGTAAAATCTATTAGCAAAACAGTCATCCTCATCCATTTTTATTTCACCAACAATAGTGCTGAAAGATCCGCTGGATTACCCGGAATTTCCTAATTAATTTAGGTTATCTAATTAGATTAATTATCTAATTTTGCTGGGCAATGTAGAGAGATATGATCATAATCTGTTATCTTTAATCATTAGTGATTATTGTGCCCGATACGAACTGATTGATTATTCCTTTAGGCGATAAAATGTTGGAAAGTAGCTGCTGAAGTCTAAGTTGACATCTTCAAACAGCAGGTCCAAACACAAAAGTGTTTAGTATTTTTACTATTTAAAGCTGAAAAACATTTTTTTTAAAAATGTTTTCTGCCCATCAACTAATTGATCATATGACTAATTGCATCAGTTCTGTTATGTTTTACAAAATAATGGTGTCCAAATTGATGATTCATACTATGGAACATGGGTTATTACTTTGAACATCAATTAGATTATGTTACGTGATTTTTCTTACAAATGCCATTTTGTCATATAATGTGTGTTCATATCAGAAACAGTCTTAGTTTTTCTAGTGTTTACATTCCATCTGTGCAGTCATGCTCTCCTCTCTCTCGTCCCTTCAGGTGCCTGCCAACACGGACAGCGTGATGTGTTTCGGGCCTCTCGTTCCCGACGGTTACGCCATTTGTTACAACCCCCAGGCAGACCACGTCCACTTTTCCATCACCGCCTTCAACTGCTGCGAGGAGACTCACGCAGAAACATTAGCCGGCACCCTGAAGGACACCTTGTGTCAGCTACAGGAGCTGCTGCAGCCTACCGTGTAGAGCTGCTCCCACGGCATGTCCAACAGGATCAACCCACTCGTATGCAACCGGGAAAAAGACATTGTATTTTCTTTCATTTTGACGTCTTGGTGAGGCTTTTTTTTTTTTACTCTGATGCCACTTAATTCTGAAGTCAGAAGGCAGTGTCTCTGAGGTGCTTCTGATGCTTTTTTTTTTTTTTAAAAAAAGCTTTTAATGAAGCAATAAATCTTTTTCTAGCAAGAGCAGAGCAAGTAGGCTGCGTGATAGCTGCTGCAGTGGTTGCGCTTGTCTCGTATCATATCAGTGATGAAAGCAAAACAAAAGTTAAAGCCAACCCGACACTCCAGCATTAATCGGAACAAGCCAAAGCGTACATGTTGAAGGCGACTGCACTCCATTTGCAAATCATGAGACGACCGTAGCCTGTCTAGTCACCTCCACAGAGAATACACTACGTTTCGTGTCTTGCGCTCCCTGTGATTTTGCAGGTTGACGAGTCTGTTTGAAAAGGACCAAAGGCCAGAAAGCTGGTTGTTATTGGTAACAGCGCAGAGAAATGACAGGTTGTTCCTCTCTGAGCTTGAATGACCTGATCTTCTGTTGTATTTACTGTATGTTGAATTGAGTGTGAAGAGGCTTTGGCCCCTTCAGTGGGGCGTGGTGTTCTGCTCTCAGCCTGCAGGACTGGTTAATAAAGCCTTTTATCACATGATTCCCCATTTAAATGCTTTCTGTTTGTGTGTGTGTGTGTGTGTGTGTGTGTGTGTGAGAAAAAGAGAGAATATAGCAGTGATTAGGAAAGCTGAAGTACAAACACCTCAGAGTTGAGTGTGTTTTGTGCCTTTGTTATGGTTATAGCCTGCAGACATCACAGAGTTATTTCCACCATGCACTAATCCATGAGACATTATGCACAGTCATCTCTAAAAACAGGAACCAGGGCAAAACAGGCAACTACCCGGGGGGTAGTTTTCATGGTTGATCAGAAATAAAAAGCAATTTGAATATGTCAACTTGCGCTTCAGGGAATAAGGATGGCATGTTTCTCTATTTTGACATCTTACACACTGGGCAGTCAATCTGTTATTAAAGAAAATAATAGTCATAGTATTGATAATGGAAATAATTGTTGGTTGTAGCCCTGTAGGACTTCTATGATGGAATAATAATACATTTCCTGAGGTTTTTGCGTGCTCATTAATTGACACTTAGAAAATGAAGCAAATAGAAGCAATTTGTTAAAACACAAACCAATGAAGATCTTTAAAACAGATTTTGACAGAGTCCCTCTACAAGACAGAGGATGGAGGAAACAACAAACGGTACTGTGCAAAAATTTTCAAGCACACACTCTGTCTATTCATTCATTCTGCAGCGTGACAACGACCACAAACATACAATCAGAGTCATAGAAAACTATCATCAGCAATAAGAATAACGAGTCCTGAAACAGATGGTCTGGCCCCCACAGAGGCCTGATCTCAACATCATGGTGTCAGTCTGGGATTACAAGAGGAGACAGAAGACACTGAGCCTAAATCCACAGAAGAACTGTGCCAAGTTCTCTGCGATGCTTACAACAGCAGAGTAGCTTGAAAACCTGTGTGGAAGTAGCAGAAATGATTGTGTTGTTTTAAATGCAAAGGGTGGGTCACACCAAATATTGATTTGATTTAGTGTTTCTTTTTTCTCTTTACTGCACTTTGTATAAAAAAAACTATTTGTGGTATTATTTTGAAAGGATGCTCACTTTACTTTCAGTGCCTAAAACCTTTGCACAGCAGCTGTAGCTGTTACTTTATTAAAGTGGCACATATTTCTAGCAAATTTGCAACGAATCAAATTATGCTGACATAAATGATGCGGAGTAAACCGCTGACTGCCTGCTTTGGTAATTCAGCGCAGATTTAAAATACCACAGCTGTCTGACATTATTTTACAACAACATTTCACACAGATATGACTAAAATTGTCTACTAAATAAAAACAGTCAGGTAACGGCTTCACGCTGATTGGACGAGCGGGGACAGGAGATGACGTCGCTCACCTTTAGTTTAAAACCGGAACAAACAAAAGCAACATAAGCAGAGCTGAGCAGCTGGTCGGCGTTTTGAGTTCAAGTGTTATTAAGTAATAAACACAGAGTACTGAGTGTGTTTGTGTATGAAACAGGACGAGTAGACTCCAGCTCATATGTACTGCCCCTGGGAAAAGAAATGGAGCTGAAGATGATAGCACAGCATTAGCCCAACATCCGGATTTTATATTTTTATTTTATTTTACCTAGTGTTTTTTTATGTAGTTCACCTTTACGGTTTTATTTGTGTGTGTGTTTTTTTTTTTAATTTTTTATTGTTATTTCGAGTTATAATGAAGGGCTCCCATTCTGCCATATCAAGCCAGAGGAGGAATAGCGGGGCGGCCGGGCTGCTGTTCCCGCTGCTCGGTGCGTGTCTCTGGGCTGCGGTGGTCGGGTACAAGCCGGTGATCATCGTTCACGGTTTGTTCGACAGCTCAGGGGATTTTAAAAATTTACAGCGTTTCATCAACGAGGTGAGTGGACAGAATAAACAGGAAGTTTGTCATTGTTTGTTTGTGATTCAGGGGTTGTTATGGTATACAGAAATGTATATAAACTGTATTTTCCAGGGGGTTGACATTAGAGTACATAAAGCAGGCCTTACCGCTTATATCACCACGTTTTCACAAGGTGCAGTGTGTACTTTTTTACATTAGACAGCCTTTATCATAATGGTAGAATCAATAGATTGTCTCGTAATGTCTTCAGATATCTTGTTTTGTCTCTGGACAACAGTCCAAAATGCAAAGATACTCAGCTTAATATGATATAAAACAGAAAAAGCAGGAAATCTTTATATCTTCGAGACTATATTTACAATTTTTGCATAAAAAATTACTTTGACAATTAATAGATGATCAAAATATTTCCACATTACTTTTCTATTGATCAAGTAATCGATTAATCGACTAATTGTTGCAACTCCACTTCCCAGCAGTGTACAGAAATTAAATTTAGCTCCACATAAACCAGCTGCAACATTAAAGTGATGTAAACATTAATTATTATCCAATAGTATTACTTACATTATTCTGAAATTGACCATTCTGCATAAGGAGGACTTTAACTTTAGGTATTTTAAGTAAATTTTGATGCTCATACTTTTGTATTTCAGCATAATTTTGAATGCGGGAGTCAGGACTTTAAGTATTTCTACACTGAGGTGCCACTTTTACTAGTAAAATATCTGAGTACTTCTTTCACCACTGCATCACAGTGAATGATTAGCACTATAATGTAATTCCATGCACTTAGAGGTGTGATTATAGGGGTTTAGATATATTATTTTTGTTTAATATAACCTGTAGTTTGTACTTTAATATTCTGTGTATAGGGAAATGGGCAATTTATCTTGGATCTGTGCTCTTCGGTGCAATATAATGGTGAGATTTACGCTGTGTGCAGGAAAGATGTCAGTATTTGCAGTTATAATGAAGAGTTAAAATAGCATGGTGAGAATAGTTTCTTTTCCTGCTTATCCGCTTAAATCCTCCAAATCTCCCAAACATCCTTATCTTGGTGGCTGGTGATGTGGTGATGATTTGAATAGGGAAGTTTTTGTGGGGAGTCTGGTGAGGTTGATAAGGTTAAACCAAGGTTTAGTTCCTCATTTTCACGTCTGCAGCGTTAGAAAGTTCCTGAGACAATTACAACCGGAAATTCGCTTGCTCTCTCTATTTCAGTTAGCTTGTGCTCCTGCCTTCTTACCAAACCGCCTGATGAGTCATCAATATTTAAAGCACATCCTGATCACTTAGAAGCCAAACATCCCCAAGGATCTTTGATAAGGCAAGCATTTAGCTATGTGGTCTGCTGTTTTTTTTTTTTAATGCTGAGGTTAGCGTGTTGATTCTTGTAGCTGTTAAAGACTTTATGAGGAATCACCAGCACACTCCCCACAAGCTCAATGAAATGAAACTATCCCCTGCTCTCTCCTGCAGTCTCATCCTGGAACAAATGTGACGGTCATCGACTTGTTTGACAGGAGTGCCAGCCTGCAGCCCATGTGGAAGCAGGTGGAGGGATTCAAAGCAGCTATTTACCCAATAATGCAAAATGCAGCAGACGGGGTCCACTTTATCTGCTACTCTCAAGGTCTGTGAGTGCATTTTTTTTTAAAAGGCAAAATAGAGACGTAAATGTGGTATTTGTTTAAGATTATACAACAGTCTTGGTATGTGATGTAGTTACAATGTCCTTCTTGCAAAAACTCATCTCAGAGTGACACTTTTTTTCTGTAAACTGTAAATGCTCCGCTCCTATATTAAAAGAACGTTTCTCAATGTTTGTTGTTTTATTTGATGGACAGATTTTTTATTACACCTGGGATTTCTGCTTGAGTCAGGGGTTGGAAATTCCCAGCCACGGCTTGTAATTCAAACCGCCAAATGTTTCTAGTTTGTCAAAACCAGGGGAAGAAATATCTGCACTTACACACTGACAGTAAATTTTTTTTCATTCTTATAGAGAAATGGTCATGTTACAGTAAAAGTCTAATTGAAGTGTATTTCCAGGAACGTTAATGTTAAAAATATTAGTGTGTAGTCTTAACAATGTGTGCAGTAAATAAAATTAGAGCTGAGCCAACTTGTCAATTAAACAAAAATCTATTGGCAGCTACTTTTTAAGTAATTTTTCAAGCAAAAATGGCAAAACATCTTCTAATTTCACCTACTAAATTGTGAGGATTTTTGTTTTTTTCTCTGTTTTATGTGATTGTTAATATCTTATAGTGTTTGTCAGAAAACACCACTTATGATTTCTTTGGCTTAGAGAGATTGTAACAAGCACTTTTCACTGCTTCCTCACATTTTATTGACCAAACAATTAACAATCAATCAAAGAAATAATGATGATTAGGAGAATAATTGATAATGAAAATAATTATTCGCTGCAGCTCTGGATATAATAACTGCATGAACTGATCTGGGAAAATGGGTTAAAAAGTTCTCTGATTTACTTGAAGCATCACTCAGTAGCATCATTTCTTTCTAACAGAAACATACACACGAAGATTCAAAGACTTCACTGTCATACGCACAGAGCAATAAGTTACAGTTTTACTTTGCGGTAAAACACAGCGATCTATCTATTTGTCTTGGGCCTTTTATTTAAATTATAATACTGTGCGTGTAGAACTCCGAGCCCTCGAAGACTGATGGGAAACATTCTTTGTTTTTGTTTTTACAGGTGGGCTGGTTTGCAGAGGAATCCTCTCCACGCTGTCTGACCACAACGTGCACTCCTTCATCTCTCTGTCCTCGCCTCAGGCCGGGCAATATGGAGGTGGGTTCAACTTCAAAAGCTGAGCACATGATCATGTTTGAATTGGCTATTATCTTTTTTTTTTTCTTTTTTCTTTTTTTTTTTTTATAATAACAATGTGTCAAGGAGACCACAAACAGAGCTAAAATAGAGTGAATATTGTCCTTAAATTCATCAGACTGGACACAAACACGACTCCAAATGACAAATAATGTTGCTCCATAACTGCTGGATGTGTAAATAATCAACAAGTTTGCCATATCAATGTAAAAGGTGATGATGTGTCAACTTGTCTCTGCTTGTTCCAGGGAGACAAGAAATCAGTTCTCGAAAGGTTTAACATGTTAAGGACCGGTTTCTTCTCTCCAGCTCTAACTCTGCTGCTCGTCTCTTGTTTCCTCTCAGACACAGACTACTTAAGGTACCTCTTCCCTCAGTTTGTGAAGTCCAACCTCTACCACCTCTGCTACACCTCAATAGGGCAGAGGATATCCATCTGCAACTACTGGAATGGTGAGAATCCAGGAATAGCTTTCTGAGAATTAGATATTCACTGTGCTGTTTTCTTCAGATTCAAAGACATCAGACCATAACCCTCAGGTTGCTCAAATACCGAGAAGCTTCATAAATAAGTGTTTTGACATACTGGTTGTTCGTCCTCTCTCCTCTTCCTCCTCCTCCTCCTTCTCCTCCAGACCCCCACCACAGAGACCTGTACGTGAACAGCAGTGATTATTTGGCTCTGCTCAACAGTGAGAGACCCAATCCAAATTCAACAGGTCAGCACATTCTTTGTGGTGTGAAGCTTATCCATAAGTTTAACGTATGTAACTGTCAGGTGTGCGTGACACTATAGTGACAAATTGGGGCCCTTGTGACTCCTGAAAAGAATGATCAACAAGCAGGAGAAGGTTGTTGTTTCAAGCAATAATCCAAAAAACAGCACCCCACAGCTTCATGTGCTCCAGCTACAAAAAAACTTTTGCCATCAACAGGTCCTCAGAAAACCAAAGTGCTGAATAATTCTTCTAAAATATACATAATAATATAATAAGGTATGTAATGTTATATGCAATATACACAGATTAGACAGTAATAATAAAGTCCTATGAAGTATATATAATATAAATGGAAGACAATACCATGATATAACATGATAACACCAAAAAAACACTAATAATAATATAGTAGATATAGATAATAAGTCATACACTGTATACTCATGTAAAATAAGATAGTGTTAGATATGTTAGTACTTCTTATAATGATATACTTATAGTAATAATAATACTGATAATATATAATCAAGGACATGGTGCAGGTGTATTGTAAAGTGACATAACAATGTGCAACATAAAGCCAAGTGCTGTTTTACAGTTGTCCACAACCAAAAGTCCAGAGCTCTGAAGGAGAGTGGGGGCCCTAGAAACTTCATTACTTCATTCAAATGGCGGATATGTAATTATAATGTGTATAATGAGTATATCATTATTCAGTGTGTTTTATTTCTCAATCTCAAGAGTGGAAGAAAAACTTCCTCAAGATCAAAAAGTTGGTGTTGATCGGCGGACCAGACGATGGAGTCATCACTCCCTGGCAGTCGAGGTGAGTTCATCCTCTGTCTTCTTTAGTTTCTCAAAAATATATTTGTGCTTTGTGCTCTTACAGTATTTCATGATTTCACGTAATAATCCATTTTACACAAACCATTTTCACTGTCGTGAAAATTAATTTCATTGAATATTACTCAAACACTTCATACTCCTGATGAAATCCAAAACACCTGTGTTGTTGACATTACAGTCTCGTCTCTGCCTCAGCTGGGGGATTTATTTTTCCACTTGACTTTGATTCATGCACACTGATTGAACTGCTGTACTGGCTTCTACAGAGTCTGTTTTTTTACACTTTCTGTTTTCATTTCACGCATTCGCAGGGTTTGCTTTTATTGACCGTGGACGATCTGATGACTCTCATGTGATGCTCACACATTATATCCCTCTGTTATGTTTTACAGTCAGTTCGGATTTTATGACGACAACGAGACTGTTGTTGAGATGCAGCAGCAAGATGTGAGTGCAAATCATGCAACCGACGCACATATAGGCTACAACAACTTCTTTTAGTCTGTCTCAGCGCCCTCTGCAATTCTTACTAATAGTGGTATTATTTTGGGTTATTTTCACCTGAGGTTAGTTATTTGTTGTGTCATCCACAAGCACACATTCAGTCCAGTGATACTAGTCTGTACACCCATGGGTGCACTGCCATCAGGACCTGCTATAAGGAACTGCTAAATCTAATTCGGCATACTTTCAAAGGCGCCAATTAGCCAAAATGTAAACATATATAGGCTAAAAATATTATCAGGTTGTAGCTATAGTGAGTTACAGCACTACATTGTACTTCCTCCCCAAAAACTGTAGGAAACGAACAGCATGATTGTAGAGAAGGAAGATAAAGAATAACAACAGGAGGGATTACATGTTGCACTATTAATATTTACTTGATATTATTATGGCATTATTATTATTATTGTTATTATTATGTGTTACCCCTGCAGTAGATAAACTGAGCACAAACTCATGCTCCTTTCTCTCGCTCCAGTTGTACTTGAGAGATGTTTTCGGTCTGAAGACGCTGGCGGCTCGCGGGGATCTGATCGTCTGCGCTGTTCCCGGCGTCGAACATGTCATGTGGCACTCGAATGAGACTGTGTTCCACATGTGTATGGAGAAGTGGCTGGTGTAGAACAACACCCCACACAACACACAGACACACATACACACACACAGATACACACACACACACACACAGATACACACACAGATACACACACAAAGATGCACACTTTGCAGTTTTATAAGCTTTTAACTTCCACCGTGTGTGAAACTCTGCCTCTACAACCACTGTGTATTATCCTCAGACATAGAGAGTCTTCTCTTAAGGACATGAACTCATTTATGTTCACAGAGATCACTTGAAAATCAAACAGTGTTGTCAAGATGTGTTTTCCTTGTACTCTCTGTTGATTAAGTGTTTTCAGAAATTTTCTTATTTGGTTTCATGTAGAGAGTTTGATGAGAAGATTGATCGACACTCTCGCATCCGTACGGTAGATATGATGCTACAGCCAAACACTTGACTTTTTGTATCGATTAAACAAATTAGATATAACACGTAAGCTTTACAGGTGTTGATAGACAGATTTTTTTACCTTTGGACAGAGCCAGGCTAGCTGTTTTTCTCCTGTTTCCTGTCTTTATGCTGAGCTAAGATAACTGACTGTTGACTGTAGGTTCAAATTTACCATCCCGACATGAGAGAGGCATTGACCTTCTCATCAAACTCGCATTTCCCAAAATGTCCCAAAAACGGTTCATTTACTTTTTTCTCTTGAACCGTGTTGCTGCTGTCCGATAAACCAAACACATCGCTGTCTGTGTGCTGAAGGCACATATTGTCAGAACGAACAAATATACAGGTTTCCATAAACCAGGTAACGTTAACTGCTATTATGTTATTACAGTCTGCAAGGGAATCAGACATTAAAGGAGCACTCCGGCAATTTGGTCTCGCAGATTCATGAAGTTTGCAAGAGACATATAAAAGAGAAAGGAAATCATTATAGCAGAGGCTGAGAGATCCTATTTTATTACTCAAACTCAAGCTGTGGTAAACCCGATGAGATCTAGGTCTATTTTTTTTAAATTCTTTACACAACTATTTCTGTCAGCGTTCATGTGAACACCATGAATGTCTTCCAGGAGAGATTGTCTGAAAATGTGTGCTGTTATCCCTGTTTTCAAACAATATGGTGTCTCTGTCTGTCAAAAAATTTGTGGAGTGCCCCTTTAATTTGTCAAGAAATGTTAGTTTATTGCTTTATAAAATACCAAGTCCACATACATAGAGTATACCCATGTGTGTGTCTGTGTGTGTTTGCTCACACATACCTCAGAAACACCACACAACACAATAGTGCCTGAGCGACGTTCTGTCCTCTAAATGTACAGACTCACTGCCCTGCTCATCTTATGATGCAGTAATTTATATCTTTTTATCCTTCCATTTTTAATCCTGGGGGGGTTATATTTTCCTGTTTTGTTTTTGTTTTTGTTTTAATTAGTGGCCACATCTGACCATGAATATGTTTGTTATCATTATCATGCAGTGCTTTGGAGCTGTACTCTATCGCTTTAGTAGATCAAGCCTTAAAATTTCCCCTCATGCCTCAGTGTCACATGTCCATTACCGAAGTGCTATGAAATACTGCCTTTCGTGACGGTGCTAAAAATAATGATGGAGATATAGAGTGGCTGGAGAGTGGCAGTGATGTATTAGTGTTTACTTGTCCGCCAAACTATTGTACGTGGCACTCTTTACCTCCCATCGCATTTAGATATCTCAGGCGTTTGAGCAACCCTCGTGTTTGTTTATCTCTGTCGGAAAAAGGGATTTGTTTCTCTTAACTGTTTTGCATTTTGTGGGATGTTTATTGTTGCTTGTGCTATTTACAGATGTTTCACAAAGAATTTGACAAATGGAAATATCTGTGATTTAAAAATAAGAGAACTACTATTTGAGTAAAATTTGCAATGCACAATGTTTAACCAGATAAAGAGAAGGGAAACAATGAAGAGGGGATGATTTTAACTGTTCAAAGTTGTTCAGTTTGAAAGTATTATTTTAATATTATTGCTTTACTTGTTTAATGTCTGCTTGTACAAATGAATTGACCCACAGTAACTGCATAAGTTATGGATTTAAGGGATGTCCTCTCAGTTCAGTCTTCGTGGAGATATGTTAAATGTGGGTATGAACACTTTTTTCAACAGAAATTACTATTTTGACTGTCCCACAGTTTCTACAGTATTTGGTCTGCAAATGAAAAGGTTTCAAATGTTGTCAATTCCTCAATAAAAGACAGTTTTGAACATCTGTTTTTGGTATATTAAATTCTTTGTACGCACAAACATACTTGTCCAGTAAAGCTGATTCAGATTCTAGGGTTGAAGTATCTCAAAACTGTACTTAATACCGTACTTGTTCTTATGTTCTTATTCTTCCACTGCAAATAGACAAAACGACAAAAATAGGAACACACAAATCATAAAACCACGAAAAAGGATAAAACAGCGGAATAAAACTAAACCAAAACAAATCCGTCTCAAAGCGGTCTGACTACATTTCCATGCATGCCTTGCGCACCGGAAGTAACCCACCAGTCCACCGGATATCTGGACGCGGCGCCGTGAGAGGCCCTTTCCCGTCTGTGAGGAGTGTAGTACAGAGCGGCAGACACAAGTGAGTCGAAAATTCACTATTTACTCGCTTTATATATCACCAAAAAGAATATTGATGGCTAATAAGAGACACTACGGACTCTTGGTGTCCCAGAAATACAAGTGAAGCACCTCCGTTTTTCCGGAATGTGCGTTTTATTCCCTTTAAGTGTTACCGTACGAGTGCAAGAACGCTGGGCGTTAGCATGTGGCTAACTTGCTAGCACATGTGGATGCGGCATGTCGAGTAGCCACCGCGTTAGATATCACATCCAGCGTCTTCTTACGCCACACATGGCGGTGATATTATTTTAAATCCTGCCTTTTTCACCATAGTAAACACCACCGCTGATTTGTAACGCATAGTATAGTCAGTTTTTAGTCGTTTGTCAGCTTGTCAGCTGCCGTGGCTTAGGTTAGCTTCCCTTTAGGTGAAACAGGCTTCAACTCCGGCCCTGCTGAGAAACTGTGGATGTCTTTATTTCTACCAGTTCTGACCTGACATTCACTCTCACCGGCTGTTTTTTAAAGTCGTAGGGATTTATTCTGCTGCATAACGGAGATATAAAACTCAAGGTGTCTATATCTCAACATCGACATGATTTCAGTGGAAGTTGTAAAGCTGCAGTACCTGTGTTTATCAATGTAACAATGTGGTGGGTTTTATGTGACTGAATAAGTTCGCACAGATTTATTATAATGTCCATGCTACATATACGTTTCTTTTAGTTCTCTTACAATATGAGAATAGTACTCATTAGATGACGCATCCAGGCATATCAACCATCATTAACTTTTCAGTCAATTTGTTATATTGTTGGGAATTAAGAAATGTAATCAATTTTCTATAATCTCATAATTTTGCTATATACTTGAACATAAATATGCGTGAATGCTGTGTATATAAAAAAAAAAAAAATCTCACCTATTTATCTCCAGTGACTGAGTGGGAGACTGCCCCAGCCGTGGCCGAGACCCCAGAGATCAAGCTCTTTGGCAAGTGGAGCACTGACGATGTCCAGATCAATGACATCTCCCTGCAGGTAAGCTGCATCAAAGAGTTGCTACTTGTGTCAGCTGATTGCTGTGTTATTTTAAATGTTTTTACTAATTCAAAGCGAGGCTAGAGTCACGCCTGGACACTGACCTGTTGTCCTGGTGTGCTAGAGTGCTCGCAGAGGAAAATGTCTTTGCTTATTCATTGGCTGTAGTCTGAAGTGGCCCAGTCAATCACCAACTCAGACACACGATCTCTTCCTACATGCTGTATCTGTGCTCAGTCCAAGTCTGTATAAACCACAACACTTTAACCATTTTAACTGGTCACTACAGGATTACATTGCTGTGAAGGAGAAGTACGCCAAGTACCTGCCACACTCTGGAGGACGTTATGCCGCCAAGCGTTTCCGCAAGGCCCAGTGCCCCATCGTGGAGCGTCTGACCAACTCCATGATGATGCACGGCCGCAACAACGGCAAGAAGCTGATGACCGTGCGCATCGTCAAGCATGCCTTCGAGATCATCCATCTGCTGACAGGAGAGGTACATACCACTAACTTTCACAACACTTCATCCATGTTTGGTGAGAGTATTCGGCTCGGTGTGTTTGGTATGACTAAAAACACCATCAGATCAAGACGCTAGAAAGTCAGCAAATTATAAAATACAGGGAAGGGTAAACTGACACTGGATAAATAGTCTTCACCTGATACTATGGGACAACCTTTCATAGTTTGGGTTTTTACCCATTTACACGGGGGAAAATAATTTTTAAAAAGAGCAGATCAGTATTTAGTCCCCACAGATCCAAAAATTGATCTTGTTTGTCCTGCTGTAAAGGCACTTAACAAATCCTTGTGTAGATGACCCAGACCATACTTCTGCTAAAAGAACTTAGAGAAAAATCCAAATAAACTGCTTCATTATGCCCCAGACACCCAAAACTCCCATGTCAAAAACATCCCTGTGTAATTATCAAACATGGTTGAATTCATTTTTTTTTTTTTTTTTTAAAGCAGTGGTGAAACAGTTTGGAAAATTATTTGTATTCTTGCCAAGCATAAGACGAGTTGCCTTTGGATAGAGCCTGGCTTGTTTCCAAAAATTGTTTGTATCTGCAGGTTTTAAAGTCTTAACATGCACTGAATTCAGTCCTTTTTAAAGTTTTTTATTGGTTAATCCATCCATAAAATGTCAGGCATGTATCTGGGTCTGAGTGATGTTAATTTATATTACAAGGAATTATTATAGTCATGTAGTCATGTGGGACCACAACATTAAGCAGGTAGCCAGTTTTATGAGTCAGGTATCCGATGTTATGTTGTCTATTGATTTACAATTTGTTAAAATACCATTTTTAAATTTTCTTCCCAGAATCCCCTTCAGGTCTTGGTGAACGCCATCATCAACAGTGGACCCCGTGAGGACTCCACCCGTATCGGCCGTGCCGGTACCGTCAGGAGGCAGGCCGTGGACGTGTCACCCCTCCGCAGAGTCAACCAGGTAACGTGTCTGCATCCGTTTACATTAAAAACTGTTTCTTTGTCATATGTTGCATTGCAACAGTCCTTTTATACCCCAGACATAAAGATGGTGTTGTGTTTTCACATATCTGACAAAGATGTGAAGCATGTCTGGTAGAATCAGGAGGAAGAACTCAATTCACTTTTTAATTACATTAAGATTTGACAGTGTGTATATGAATTAACAGTATACAGATTACATAATGCATGTAAGGTTTCAGTTGTAACAGTTAACACTAACAGCAGGGCATACACTTCATGTCTGGAAGTAGTTTTCAGCTTATCGCCATTAAATATTCCTTCAGTCGTTTACTGAACACTGCTTTATTTTCATGAGGTGAATTAATACGTTGTGTATTTCATGCACTAAGCGAGGCTAGAGTCACGCCTTGATACTACCCGTTGTCCTGGTGTGCTAGAGTGCTCGCAGAGGAAATTATCTTTGCTTATTCATTGGCTGTAGTCTGATGTGGCCCAGTCAATCACCAACTCAGATACATTACTCTACCAGCCAGTGTTTATTCCACTGAAGTTAATTTGTCAGCCTGCCTCAGCCTCTCGCTCATCTTGTCTTGTAGGCCATCTGGCTGCTGTGCACAGGAGCAAGAGAAGCTGCTTTCAGGAACATCAAGACCATTGCCGAGTGCCTGGCTGATGAGCTGATCAATGCAGCTAAGGTAAATTTTCTTCAAACATTTCATAAAATCCCATAGTGAGCTTGTTATTGATCGAAGTTTAAACAAAACCTGTAATTAGAGTGCTGAGAAATTGTCTAGAGTTACACGAGTTGTGATATTTACCGTGATATTTGAATTTCTTCTGTTTCAGGGTTCATCTAACTCCTACGCCATCAAGAAGAAGGACGAGTTGGAGAGAGTTGCCAAGTCCAACCGTTAAACATGTTTGCTTTCTAACAAAACAAATAAATCTCAAGAAATTTTTGTGGATTCCATGAGTGTTTAATGACCCTCTTCACATGACTGTCTCAACATGTACACCCAGTTGCCAGTTTATTAGGTTCACCTGGCTAAAACTAATGCAACAGTCCTGCAATGAGTCCACCTTCATAAAAGGTTATAATGTTCAGTCTCTATTGAAATTGTTTGTATTGTTGATTCAAACTGATAATTTGAGGAAGAAGATTGTGGTGCTGTTGAATCTGCATTATATGGAAGTGTTTATTTTGCCAATCCTCATTAATATAAATGGAAGGACAAAATAGGAACGCCTGCTAATATAATGCAATTCAATTTTCAGCAGCGACACAAAACTGCAGCCTCAGATGACCTTCAAGTTGAATCCAAACCTTCGTGAATGTATGAGTTATTGCAGGACCTGTATTAGACTGCATTAGCTTTAGTTGGATGTACCAAATAAACTGCCAACTGAGTGTAAATTACACAAAAGCAAAATGACATGTCTCTACAAGTTGGCAGATACATTTTTATTGGCATCTCTACACTTGCTACAAATTCATACATAGGAAAAGCTAAAACTATTTAATAAAAAAATCTGCATTTCTATACTTAGCAGCTACACATCCTGTAATTTAAACTGTCAGTAAAACAACTAATACTTGAAGAGTAATGAAATGGATACCAACCTGTTGTAATATGGATATAAGAGCTACACATGATCATGAATTTGAGCACCACAGGGTTATCTACAGCACTGAATTCAGATTCCTCAAAATAAAAAGGCCTTAGAAGATATTAAAAAGTCTCCAATTTCAATTGTTTTAATGTTAGCTCAGTGGTGCCTACAAATTACCAAGTTAAACAGTTAGAAACTACAGTTGAATTTAGTGGTTTCATGAGTGGTGTTGTAAGACCTCTGTGTGCTGCACTGTTGGTTCAGCAGGGGGGGGAACTGTGCCAACAATCTGCGTGTTTGATACAGTTAGTCTGTTAACAGATGGATCGTATTCTCTCTCATACAAACACTGTGTGTCAGTGTTTCCTTTAACAATAAATAGACAAGAATTTTAAATCCGTGGGAAGTGTTTCGGAGGCCCCCCTCCACCACACCACGGACATGTGCAGGTAAATACTGTGTAACATACTGAGTGTTGGGAGTGTGTCTTTAGAAATACGTGTGCTTTCTGTTGATGAGGAGGCAGAGTGAGGACAGGGACGCTCCCAGTTTGGAGGCCTCGCTGCAGGCTGTAGGCAGGAGGGTGTAGTCCTGCAGCTTCTGGAAGGCCTGCAGAGAGGAAACGATTTACTCATCCAGACACATACTCATCAGCACTGGCACAGACTGCACTGTGCACAATTGATGGGAAGAAGTTAAGACGCTAATAAAAGAAGGAAAAACTGCTTCACTGGCTGGAATGACAGCTCCTTAAATTACTTTCAGGTGTCAGTGGCTTTCATAAAAAGCGCATCATGCTTTTAATGACTGTTATGTACACGTTAAAACCTTCAGTTTTCACTGGTCTTGGATATCTAAATGTATACTGTCATAGAATAAGAGGACAATAGAGAGAAACTTTACTTTGCAGAGAGCAAGACAACGCCTACTCTGACTTTTCTAATGCATCCAATAATCATTACTGTGTTTCCATTATCATTTACTGTTTATTACAACATGATCATCCACCTTTTTAGTGGTAGATTTTCTGTACGGTATCAACTACATTTACACTTGCACATTTGCCCTGTAAATGAAATGATAACCTACAGTGTTTGCATGTGCCTGAACTTTACAGATATCTGTAGACATGTCAACTGTTGAAATATCTACATTTCCCCAGGAGGACACATTAAGGTTAATATCTTAAAGGGGCACTAAATTTGATCCTTACTCTGTATGAATGACCAACACAGACACACTAAGCAGGTTTTCAGTACACTGGAAAAGCGACAGAATCAAATATACTCAAGCTAGCTAGCTAACTAGACTGTGCATACATATGTTGATTTGTGAGAGAGCTGTTTATATGGAGATAATTAAACTATTTAACTATTTAAATGTGGATGGTTCTGAAACAGCCTAAAAAAAAATCATGGAAAACAAAAATAAGTGATCAGTCTTAAAGATATTGATAGGCAGCAAAGTTGCGGTTTGAAGTCTTTTGTTAGTATAAAATCCATGTTAATTGTTTTGTATACTAACTGCTAAAGTAGCTTACTATGACGATTAGTATTAGATCGTACATTCTGTATACAATTAAGTTTGAAGTATGGATTTGGGACACAGGATAAATGATCAGAGATTTATGTTGTTAATACTGCAGGATTATTCAACATTATCATTTATCAACCTTTTGTTTTCGTTTCAGGATGACCTCATCCTGTTTTGTTATAGCTAAACTATATTCTGTTACCCAAAGTGCTTAAAATTTTCAAGATAGCTCAACTTTTGTCCTCCCACCCACTCACATTTTTAACAGGTCAGCGATGAGAGATGGCGCTGTGAACGAAAGAATGGCTTCAAAGGACATTTCATCTTTTGGAGCCAGAGAAAGCGACTGTCACAGCAGGACAAATATATTGTTTTGTATTGATGTAAGCTCTTAATAAGATATTTCTGTTAAGATCTCTGCTCTGCCTCGCATCAATTACAGACAATTATGGCAGAGATCAGTATCATAGGAAACAAGTTCTGTCTGAGATCTGTTAATCTTATTACATGCAGTCTGTGGGACTCTTGGAGATGTTACATTTTCTACTAAATAATGATAAAGTCAGTAAAGGTTATATTTCAATTTAACTGAGAAGGCCTGCAGTATTTTTAATGCAGTTTTATAAAAAAAACTACGTGAAATAAATAAAAATAAATGAAATGAAGTCCTAACAAAGACGAGGCTCTTTCTGGATCTCAGGACTTTGGCTGTACTCACAGAGACACTGTCAGGACACTCGTCTGCAGGCCGGTGCAGCAGGAAGTCCCGTTTAGACGGACCTTTGATGTAGATGCAGTTTGCGGCTGATTCCTCAGGGACAGTGAGGACTTCATAGTGGTGATCAGTCAGCTGTTCCATCATCTGCATACAAACACACTTATGTTACTGTGCACCACCCTGACAGCTCCACACACACACACACACACACACACACACACACACACACACACACACACACACACACACACACACACACACACACACACACACATATTTCAGCCAACCACTCCCAGCATTACACACAGACTCAAAGAGCATTAATAATATGACATCAGCAGTCAGGAGATATATGATGTGTGCAGGTCACATGAGGACAGAGAGAAGAGAAACACATGCAGCGAGGGAGAGATTATACATGTGTGATAGATAACAAGGCCAGTGTTGACTGGTGGGAGATGTTAGGACCTGGCTAATACATGATTTTAGCCAGACAAAGAAATTGTCACTATGTTATTTAGCTGGTTATGATTTTGTTTCGCCAGTAAACATTAAAATTATTCTTCAAACCAAATTCAAAGGATTTTTCTTGGAATTTACCATATTCTCAATCACTATATGCAAAATTAAAAAAAAAAAAAAAAAAAATACAATAATGGGAAAAAAAAAAAAAAAAAAAAAAAAAAAAAAAATACAGTATTAGGGCACAGAAACTTTTGCACATGCCACAAAGTCAGTACTTAGTAACGTTTGCATCCAACTGTAGAATAAATAAAAATAATAGATGTTTATATAACTCATGTAAAATAAAAGTGACTTTAACACATTTTAAAAGGTGATTAGCTGCAACATGGTGAAAGAAGAAAAACGAAAGAGACAAACAAATTTGCCACATGGATACACACACACACACACACACACACACACACACACACACACACACACCTACTGCATCTACACACACTTACCCGGAGTGTCTTCTTGGCCCCATCACTGTTGCTTATGATGATTGTGTCTGGACCTCCCATGGAGCAGATGTTTTTCAGTCGGGCTCCACCGCAGACGGGGACAGTGGACACAGCAAAGTCCTGAGCAGATGGAAGTTGAAAGCTTTAATTCACACACTGTCTGTTCAAGTTTCTTTGAGAGTAAACATTCCCTTATCTACCTTAGCAGTCGTCACCTGATGGGCCCTTCTCATAGCAGACACTTCCAAGTTCAAATGCAAGGATTTTTAAAGTTACGTTGCAGCACAGTGGCATCATTACAGGCTGCAAATTTATACGTGGAATTTTTTCTACTCAGTGTTACTGTTAGAATGATAAATACTTGAGCTACAAATACATATAAAGTACTTGCAACATCTGGTACACTGGAATTTTCTGAATGAAAATTGATGAAGCCTGTGAAAATCTAGAGTACCAACTCTGAAACATGATACATACTGAGCATGTCTGAGCTAACGCTCTGCTGGTCTTCCTCTTCCCCCCCGACCACATGATACCTCCCACCCACACTGATTCATACCAGACTGACACAGCACACACACAGTACAAGTGGATGCAAAGTGTGTGTGTGTGTGTGTGTGTTAAAATGTGAAATGCACTTAAGAGAAGTGGGGGAATCAATACTAATGGGTGGGTCGTGTGGAGCCTGAGGGGTCCCTCTGTGTGGTCTCCATTATTTTGCCGATGGAACGACCTCATTCATCACTGTTTACAGACTGTAATTCCCCAAATGCAATGATGTAAATGGCCACCTGCTCACTTTGGCAGCAGGGTTCATATTCTGACAAGACTCTTGGCACTGCGACAATCTTTGTTGCACTGGCTTGAAACTGAAAATCTATTGATTATTTTATGGTTTATTGGGGAGTTTGTCTGATCTTTTACAGACTGATTCACACGGAGACTGAGTCACCGGTACATTGGTCTATCAACCATTTTCCCTCCATGTCTGTCTTTACCCTGAAAGTGTCTGCCAGCACCTCCGCCCCTCTGCGGTTGGTGTGGGAGGAGATGCCGACAAAGAACTCCCTCCCCGTGAAGAGGATGTCGCTACCCTCCAGGGTGGCTCCTGCAGAGTCCCCCTCCTCGGTCCCCATCTCCACCACAGTCAGATTCAGCTCCGACATCACCCTCCTCACTGCCTCCACCTGGAGAGATGGAGAGAGTTCTACTTAAGCCACTGTGAGAAAAAGGGGCAGTAAACAACCAAACAAGTGGTTACTGCCCATCTGGGAGTTTGCATGTTTTTCTGTATCACAATTTACAGACTCTGTAAAATAAAGTATTATCATATTTTTCACTATAGTTAGTTCTGAATAACTTTTTTAAATTACAGACCTCTAAAATCAAGTGTTAACAAAACCTTTGACGGCCAGAATTTCAGTCAGCTCAACTGCCAGAAAGCACTGTACTGCCTTACTAAAATCAAACCCAGAGAACAAAAACTGGAAAAAAAACATGGACGTCATGGAAAGGGTGATTTGAGTTTGGTCATTCTATTGTGTGAAACAGATTGTTTTCCACGGTCTATTCTCAAGTCTCAGATGTTGGCATTCCCAAAAGGAAACTGAATGTACCGACCAGGAAAAACAAGGATCTGTGTAACCCTGTAAAAATAATGTAACTTTGACAAAACTTCATTGCTAGTTTAAACAAGTATCTACCGCTAAGTTCATCTTCATACCACACTGATATGAACTGAAACAAAAGGCTTCTGGCTTCTACTTACTGCCCCTTTGTCTCTCAAAGCAAGATTAAGTGCATTATCAGAAGATTAGAGGTGCAGAAATGGGTCGCTAAAGCCATTGTCTTCTCCCTTGCGTTACCTCACTGCGCCTCTGCTGTTTGAAGGGCCTGGTGATGAGCGCCGTGTCTCCCTGGATGACTGCCACATCCTCTATCCTCCAGCTCTCCGGCAGCTCAGGGTCAGGGGGGATCTCGATCAACTGCAGGCCAACCTTCTGCCTCAGGGCTCCTGTCAGGCAACCGAACTGACGCTGAGCTTTGGCCAGATCCACTGATGTCTCCCCGTTCTCTCGACCGTCTCCCGCAGCCTTCCCAAAGGTCTCTGGGATTCCCCGCACCACGGCGTGAGTGAAGCGACCATACGGGCACATGTTCGCCATGTTTTCATTAAAAACTGTTTATAAAAAGTGGTAGTAAGTATTACTGTTCTGCAAAAAATGCCAATAAGCTTGCTCTGCCAGGAGACAAGCAAGAGGAGATAAAAAAAACGATGTGTATATGTATGTGTTTGCAACTTTTTCACAGTCTGGCCTTCACCAAAACACCAGGTGAACTCTAAATGAAGCTGATGGGATGGATCAGGAGGTCCAGAGGGAGAGTGGGGAGCATCTTCGTCCCCGTCGCGGTGCTGCGTCTTTCAATTCAGCACTCCACCGGCTACTCCCCCACCTGCAGATGCAGAGAGGTGGAAGCAGGTGATCTCAGCTTTAGACAGAGGGAGATGCACACATCAAGGCCAAAGCCTGACACAGTGGAACGAACATAACAAGGATCACTTTTGAGCTCTGGTGCCAACAGCTTTTGTGGGACACAAACATTTCAGGTCCACGTGCCTTTCTACTTTGAGGTATAAATATCTACACCAGTGTCTTGGAGATTTTAAGATTATACAACATCAGGATGAATATTTCATGAAAGATGTGTACTTATGTGACTTGGTTATTTTTATTGTGTAAAAAGACACAATTATACAAATTTATCAATCATACAACATCCACGAGCTGCTAAAATAACACAAAGAAATAGCACAGCTGAAAGTAGACAAAAGGATGATTGTCCAAGGTTAAATTGTAAGGAAACATTATTCAGTGGCCCTGCAATATGCTGCAAAGCCTTTCCATATTTGGACAGTGGGTCAGATTTGGGACAATTGCCCTTTTATCATCTTCCCTGTGCCTCACAGCAGTCGCCCACTGTGAGGCTGCAGAGAGGGAATTCCACACAGGATGTTGCCTAAATCTGCTTCTGAACTTATGCGGCAACTGCTGGGCTTTCATGTTCATTTCGTGTTGTCATAAGCACACAAAGCACATCAGGAGGACTTCACTGCAAGTTTAGGCAGTTCACAGTGTTAACAATCCAGTATTTCTTCACCTCGCACAAGCAGCAGTATTGTTTTCTAGATATATTCGTCGGTATTTCGAGTAGTTATACAGTTTGGTTGTTTTGTGCAGCAGCAGCAAAAAAAAACAAAAAAAAAACAATGTGAACATCATCCAGAACAAAACCATCTTGAGTGTTTGGCTGCAGGAGTGCACCGCCCAGCAGTTCAACACTCCTTTTCCAACACTTCTCATGATGATGTTCGTGTCTTAATAACCGGGGAAACTATCACGAACACTCCCAGAAGTTACACAAATAACAAATATAAATGTAAATTTGGGACTTACCTGTTTTCAATGTCGTATCTCCACGCTTGGCCGCGTTTCCCTCCGTCTGATTTAATTTCCAAACCAACCCAGGTCCCGTTACTCCCTCTGTCTTTCTCTGACTCTCGACTACGTGTCAAGATGGCGAATGTGAATTTGACTAGTTCCGGTTACTCGCTTCAAAATAAGACGAGTGCTGCGTCCAGTTGTGAGTAGTGATGGAAAATTACAGAGCACATTTACTCAAGGGGAAATACTGTACTTTCTACTCCAATATATATGTTACAGATAAAGACTAAGCATATAACATTAGAGATTAAATGATTAGACCATTAATCAAATCAAATCAAATAAATTAAAACAGTTTGAATAAATGATTCATCGATTTAAGAAAAAAACACCAAACATTATGCTTCCAGCTTCTGTAAAGTCAGGATTTACTAGTTTTCTGTCTGAAATTGCAATAAACAGTTGCAGTGAGATGCATCTCAACCAGCTGCAATTGTAAAATGTTGCTTACAGATTGTTGCATGAATAATGTAAAGATCCCTTTATATAATATATAATACATAACAGTCACAACAGAGGCAATTTTCTCTGCGTAGTTACCACTTTTACTTTTGATAGTGTAAGTGCATTTTTCTAAAATAAATAAATAAATAAAATGAAAAGAATTTCTCTGATAAACTGATGAACATTTTCAGTGCATGGCTTTTACTTGAGTATTGCACTAGTACTTTTTTTTCTAGTAAAGGATTTGAATAATTCCTGTATGACTGGTTGTATCATCCTCCATGTAGATGAGAAAATTTAAAAGGTAATCAGATACAACTCAAACAAAATGGTGGTAGAGCCGTAAACAACAACCAGTTGTATAAAGTTCAAATTTGGCGCAGGTCATGCTCTTATTTTTTAAAGGCCTAATAATCTCACTTCCTGTCTTCTTCGTGTATTTATTGGTAGTTTGACACAGCTGCTCTCCCACCATTTCATCCCACCCCCCATCCCCCACACGTCCTGTCCGGATTCAATCAACGTTGATTGGAGTTATCACAGCCACTGTTATATTGGCTTTCAACATTGTTAAATGGTAGCTTTACCTAACATACAAAATCAATCAATACAAAATCACTAACATTTTTGAAACATTAGCTGTTGAAGGTGAGAGGAGAGCATCAGTATCTCTAAGTATAATTAAATAACTTGCTTAGGCTTGACTGCAAACCTTTTTAAGCAAATCAAACACAGTATTGTCCCGAATTAGACTTTTTATGGACCTTATAGTGTGAAGTAACAAACAACACAAAGTGTGTTTGTGGCCACAAATGGGGCTGGTTTCATTAGAATTAAATGTTAACCCTTAAGCTAATGTTAATGCTAACTTTTAGTCTGATTTTTAAGGTAACAGTGACTGTCACAGTAGCAGTAACAACATTTTTAGGTCACTCAACTTGATTAGACAAAGTTATCCTCTTACACTAACTTTAAACAGCATTAAAATTAAACATAGCTTATTAATCATTGACTTTTAAGCTAACACTAAGGAGGCTGGTTTCCATGAAAATTAACCTTTAACCTAATGTTAGTGCGCATAGCTTTTAGCATGATTTATAACTCTATAACTGCCAATTTGGGGCCTTTTGATAGGAAACTGTTAATGTTGATGACTTCATGACGAGAAAACATAACATTTTTAAGTCACTCAGAGTAAGAAAGACCAGTTTAATTTAACATTATAGCTTACTGTTGCAAAATAAGTTTACTGCTGGGCAATCTCGGATACTTTTGCCATATGCAAGCCTACTCTGACTTGTATTAAGACAATGAATTAGTGTCGATTGTAGTTTTTCTATTAGGTTTCCTAGGATTAAGGGCACCTATTTCATATTCTCCCTGGTAATCCTGATATATTGTTTATGAAAGGTCATGAGACTAATTTGGCAGCCCTTCTTCTCTGCTTGTATCTGCCTTTTAAACATAAACTTGGACTGTCTGCAGTGAATCAAAGAAGTCAATATTCTTCTCACCTCTCCCGCAGCGGCCTATATAAATAGCTGCATTAACCTTATCAGGTTCACAGTTGATTTATTTTGCCTATATAAACAGTTTCAGGCTTGTCACATTTACTTGCCTTACTCCTCGCCTTCTGTTCAAAGTCATCATAGATTAAGGCCTATATGCTGTGTTACTGAGCCATCGTTGTTGTCTGTTTTTGTCTGCGTGACATGACAAAAAATAATCTGGCTTTTCCTGAAATGTGGGTCAAATGATGTTGGACACTGTTGAGATTGTTGGATAAGCAGGCCGCCTCGTCAGGCATCAGAGGGAAAGCTCTGTTGTATATATATCCTTTGGAGGAGCAGTATTGTAAATTGTTAATACTGCAGTATTACTGATCAGACTTTTTTTTTTTTTTTTGCAGAACTTTGGCAAAGTGATATTTGTAGATTTGGACAGCAGTGATGTAAACATGCATAAACATATCCTAGGTAACAGATGGCTGTGAGCATGTGTATATAAATATGTGCAAGCTTGAGTTTGTGTGACTACTTTTTGACTCATGTAGTGGGACAATATTCCCTTCTACTGACTGGGTTGGGTAACTGCAGCCAAGGTTGTTCAACAGCAACAGAGAGTCAGAGACGCAGTGCAACACAGAGACAAAATAAGACAGAAAGGCAAAATACCTCTGTGCATATCTGTAAACAGACGTTGATGTAAAAGCAATGGGAAATGTGGAGGGATAGAGGGGTGGAGGGGGGTGGAGGATGGGAGGTAGAGGGCACAGACAGGATTAAAGAACACCATCTGTCCACTGAGATACTTCAGCCAACACACAAAACATCCCTGTCAAATACAGCTTCAGTGGGTTTACCACCACACTGCATTCAAACTGTCTCCCCAAGAATCAAAATGCCATAAAACTTTGGTCCTCACCGCCCACCCATCCAGTGACAAGTGGCATGGACGGGGTTTATTTACCGACAACAGATGTGTGTGGAAGTTAAAATGAATGATATAGAGTCATACATAAATAATTTAAGTTCCATGTGTCATTTTGTAGGATATTTGTAAATTCAATTCCTTGAAGAATATAATACAAAAAATTCTGTCAACAGCCGTCTGGGAGTGAAAGGACAGATGTACGAATCAGAAGTGTGTAGCCTATAACCTAACAACTTCAATGCAATCACTGCACATTTACAACAAAGCAGCTGACTCTGATGCTTTCTCTGTTTCACACCGTACTCTATTCAAAAAATGTCTTGCTTTATCAACAAACACTCAGACTTCAGACGGAGTGTCAAGTCATAAAAGCTAAATGATATTCATGACCTTTTCATTTCGGCACACAACATATCATCCTGATTAACAAAACTAGCATTTACAAAACCAACATTTACTCTGAAATGTCTGTCAACCATTCTAGGGATTTTTGAGGGGCTTTTGTCTGTGTGCTGTGTCATTAATTAACAGGTAAACAGCTTATTCAGTCTGAGCCCGCTTGGCTCACTCCATCACAAGACTGCTGTCAGCAGACTCTCCTGCGTGCCGGCCTCACGTCTCCTATTACGCCCTAAAGGATAATTCAGTTAAACTGGCTCGCTCTCCAACTCACTGGCTCTCTGTCTCTGACATGCTGACTTTCTCCCTATCTGTTTCTTTCTCTGCTGACTGTTTCTACACCCTGCAGACTTTATTGCTTTCTGTTTTTTCTGACTTTCTGCCTTTTGTCTCAGCTGCTGTCTCACATATACACGTAATCAGTCTTATTTTGATTCAAATAAAGGATATTATTTGGTCCTGTACAATTGACAACAAGAGTGCAGCCAGAGTTGTGGAAATACTGTAGTAATAAGTACCAGCATCAACCAAACTCTGTGGAATTATCTGAGTATTTAAAAAAAAAAATCACAAGATTTAACATTTTATCCATTAATTTGACAGTTAAATTTTTATCTCTCTGCATCACGGTCTAAACAATGCACTGCGTTAGTATTTTCAAGTGGTTTTCTCAGTCTATCTGAACATGGTAATGTAAATAAAGTTAAATTGCTATGAATAAAACATATCAGAATCTGCCTTATTTTTGGAAATTGTAGAGTATTACTGAGGACAGGTCAAAATCGTATGTAAGTACAGTACTTGAGTGAGTGCACTTGGCCGCACTACTTCGTTGCTCACTTCCCTTTAAATACCGAAGTACGAGTGTCCTTGTTTGTTCATTTAACTAATGAAGCACTGAGTAAATCTGAGAAAGATACTGTTGTGTCAAAAGTACCTGAGCTTGATATAAAAACACATGCCATAATTTGCATCTTTGAGCCGAGCTTATCCATGTCAGCTGATCTTAATTACCTCTTCAAATTAAATTTAAAGTTTAAGGGAGGAGACAACGATGGTCCGAGTAACGTGGGTATTCAGATCAGGCCTACGGCAAAAGAGCAAAGCCAAGAGTGAAAGAAAAGGAAAAACTCAGGGCTGATTACTACATTTGAAGAGGTGCCACTTTATCAGCTTCACATACTACAGCGCAGGAAAAGACAGAGGGAAAAATCAGCAAGAGACTGAGAGTGCAGGTTTGGACTTCAAAGACGGAGAGAAATGTAATGTAGGAATGAGTTGGGGGACGTAGCAGATCAACCGCACATCAATTAGTTCAATGAGAGGCTTGTAACATCCCAGGACAGGATTTTTTTTTTTTTTTTTTTTTGGTACCACCCAGTTTGAAGACCTGAAAATCTTTGGAGACTTCTCACTGGAAGCATCATGCCTCGTTTACAGCTTCTGGTTGTATTCCTGTGTTGTCTTCCCTTGGCAGGTATGTTTAATGGGTAAAACCATTCCTTAAATCAGCCTGTAAGGAAAAGCTGATTTATTGTAAAATGTGTTTTCAGTAACAAATAGTAGTTTCACATTTTACAATATGATGCTCATACTTGACATTAGAGATCGCATCCTAACACCTTTACGATGTAAGAGATGGGGGACATAAAACTTAAAAATGAAGCTTCAGGCTTCAGTCGTGTGATTTAAACAAACCAAGCTGAGTATCTCTAGGAGTTGTGGTCATTTTAGTACAAAATGAATGTAATGTTCTGTCCAAAGCAGCTCATCTGTCTGGGGAAACACAAGATTTTACACTAAAAAGGATTAGCCGTTAGCTGATTTACTCCAACTGCTTCAGATAAACTTAATGAATCAAATAAATCTTTGCACAAAATGAGGACTGTGGATTTTGTCCCCAATTGAGGATTGTTAGGAAGGAATCACTCAACACCCAGCGTGAACAGCAGGAAGGTTTCAGTGTTCATATGGGGACCTGACTATTGTTTTAAGACATACTTGAGAAATTGTGAGGCTATCCTTTAATCAATGAAGTTGAATTATTATTTCTGTCATTTTTAAGACTGTTTGATTGATTGTAAAACATGTTTTAGTGACATGCCCTTCTTAAGGAAAATATGGCTTCTGTATAAGAGATACATTTTGTGATCCAATCCAGATATTTTGGGTATTATTCAGTTTTTTCACTTTCATTTAAGTCCCCAGATTTATCATTCACTAACAGCCTATAAACATTTAATAAAAAGTTTATAACAATCTGTAATGTAGTAGTAAGCAGCTATAAGTGTGTATGAATGTATTTGTCAACAAGAATAACTTCTCCTGTAGACACCCATCAGTGGATGCTGGTGTGCGAACAGCTAAAATAAAGTAAAATATATTATAACATAATAATATCAATATAAAATGTGTAATGAGCATTGTTAAATGTTAATATACTTATAATAAATGCTAAATAGGAACTTAAAATGAAGTGAAACCTGTTCATTTTTATGAACTATGTGGATTTATTCCCAGTGAGGACACCTACAGTAAAAAAAGAACTGTAGTGAAGTATCAATCAAATCAAAACGAACAATAACCCAGTTTTCTCCAGTAATTCCCTACAAACTTCTGACCTGTTTGGCCAGTAGCCTATCACACTGTTTGTCCAGCAGGGGGCGCTGACACGTTTATGTTTCAACTGTAAAACGCACTGCTCAGCTGGCCTGCATGTCTTCTTCAAGCTAAGTTAAAGGATTCTCATCTAAAATACTTGTGTTATGTTATAAATAAATTGGTATCAGCTCCAAAAATCTGGAATTTATCAACATTTACTCAAAATAAATTACGATTTAACATTTTTCCATTGTTTCCCTCAGCCTGTTTGCGCTGTTACACCTGTCTGTTCCCCGCCATCTCTCCTCTGGACTGCTTCAAGTTTCCCCAGGAGTGTCCTGCTGGGCAGCGCTGCCTGTCTAGTACTGCAACAGGAAGGCGGGGTAAAATCTGTGTGTGTGTGTGTGTGTGTGTGTGTGAGTTTATTTCTGTGTCTGTAGATGAGATTATTTTCTGAGAATCGAGGGCATGATGGTCACAAATTGGCAGACAAAGCCTCACTGTGCAGAACATTGTCTAGGAACAGATGCAAGGAATGTACAGTCTGAATGTATTAAGCCAGTTTTGTGTTGTTCGGCTTTGGCTTGAAAATGCTCAATTTCATCTTTAATATAAGTGTGTTGACACCCAAACACAAAGACCTGAGTAGAAGCTGTAATCCTTTTTGTAACTACAGTTCCCACACTCTTCACCCAGTACAGACCAAATGCTCTTAAACCAACTGTGCAACTTTGAAAATAAGACATAACACATTATTCCTCACACAAATTAAGTTGTATTCATTAGCAATAAATTGTCTTACTTGCTCTGACCAGTAGCTTATGGTGGCTAATATTAGCTAATGTCAGCAAACTTATGGTAAACTGGTAGTATATATAAATATATATGTATATTTGTTGACTATTACTTTACTTTTTGATTGTGCTACTGTTACACTGCATTTTAGCATGACTAAAGTTTCAGCAAACACGGTGTGTTTATTTCTTGTGATAATATTTTATCTCTGACATGATAAAAAGTAAATAGCACAGGGGCAACATAAAGTGTGTTTCCATCCAAATGTACGTAGCAAAAATTATTAAGTTTTTCAGAAAATACCAGTGTTGTACAGATAACTCAGTAACCATATTTCCTGGAACAGAACAATATCATTAATCAAAGACTGCACTGTATAATCTTTGATTGCTGCTGCTCAGGATACTAAAATAAAACAACCCTAAAATATGTGATTGCTTCCGCAGAGCCCTCTCTTAGGTTTAATCCTTTCATGACTCTACATGTGTGAAAACAAAACGAGACGAAAGAATGACTCAACAGCTCAGCATCATTTCTCATCAGGCCAGCTGTCAGCTCACTAATGCCAGTGATGCCATCAAATTATCTCTAAAAATAACTCTCTGGCCTCCGTGGGTGGGGCGAAACGGTCACTGTGTCTCATCAGAGGGTAAAGCCCCTTTTCCACATGCATGATATCGCATAACCAATCAGGACGTTTTCAGTGTGAGCATCATGTGGGATGAGGAGTCAGGAAAAGCAGGAACAGTCACAGGAAATCATTAATGTTATGTGAGGTTTTGTTTTATGCAAGTACCAGTTTGCAGAGTTACACTTTGAATAAGGTGTGCTTTCAAATTCTCACCTCCAACACCTGAGCCAGAAATAAATAAATAAAGTTAAATTAAGGTGATCTGTTTCCAGATATGCAGCATTAAATGGATAAATGGATTATCCATGCCTATGACAAACAAGAGAAAATATTTATTATATTTTTTCTGTGTTTTTTTCACCTGCCCATCACTGCATGGACCGAAACAAAACTCTTCCCCTTTCTCTGCTCTTGCAGGCGCTCTACAAGTGACGATGTTCGAGAAGAGCTGCGCCATCGCCGCCCAGTGCGGGGTGAGCGGACAGAAATACGCCTCAGGCCTCTATTTTAACTACACCAACGTCTGCTGTGATACCGACCTGTGCAACGGGGCTGTGTCTATTGCTGCCCTCAGCTGGGGAGGAGTAGCTCTGTCCCTGCTGCCTGCACTCGCTCTGCTGCTGGCCTGAAGCTGAGGCCATCCTCGACAACAAATGTAGAGGATGTAAGTGACCTGGGAGAGATGATCTGGAAAAAGATGTATAAAAACGTACACTCACAGGCACATGGGCAAAATTCCTGTTTTTAAAAAGAATTAACAGTGAGCTTGTCTCTTGTTCAAAACGGTGTTTCCCAACCTTTATGACTCAAAGTACAGCAATGTCTAACCCTCATGACAGGAGGTGTGAGCAGCTCAACTGCAAAGTGATTTTTTTTTCTTCTTCGATTGTTTCACCTGAAGACATTTTTGAGGCATAACGGTGACGCGAGAAAAAAATAATTATATAAAAGTCCGACATGATCACTGACCCTGAGGTTGGGAACTATTGACAAGTGAAAAGAAAAAGGAAAAATAAAAGTTAAATAAAAAAAGAAAGTTAAAAGAAAGAAAATAAAATGAAAATGCCAACCAAACACTTAAATACAGTCAGTAAAAAAAGAAAACTGCGGACTAATAGAAACATGAAAGTAGGCCTATGTTCTTATATCAGTTTATCATTAATGAAAATACTATAGTGATGCTATTAAAACTTTAACAGACTACTTTGAAGAGATGCCTTCTCAGTGTTATGCGTCTCATTTTTGCTCTATATTCATTAGATGTGTGATTTTTTTAGTTAAGTTACTGAACTTGACAACAGAGAGATTCTAACGTACTGCTTGTATTAGACTAGACATTTTGTTGTTTGCACTATTGTTGACACTTATTTGTTTGGCCATCTGAATGTTTTTACCCTCAAACAAGATTCAAAAATAAAAACACATCAGTCACTGTTTGATTTGTTATCAAGGTATTTTATTGGGACATTAATAAATGTGTCTTTGTAAGAGCTTTTAAGTATAAAATACACTTCTGCTGTGCTATTAGTTTGATTGTCTTCATTGTTCAATCTATTGGTTTAGTGTCCACATCACTCTTTAGATCCTGTGGACTTTTAAGTGCAACTGCTTCAGACTACATCGCGAACAGCTTGAAAAAAAATTAAAAGGCTAAAATATTTGGAGAGAAATGCATAGCGGCAGGAAACCAAGAGAAAAGCACAATATAGGTCCCATGACAATCAAAAACAATATGACATGAAGATAAAAAAACAAGAGTTAAAACAAAAAGTGAAAAACAAACTAATGAAAGTAATTTTAAATGAATGTAACAAGTTAAATGGTCCCTGAAATTGTATCAAGTCCTACAGTAAGAAGTGAAAACTCTTTAACTTGGAGAGAAGAAATACTATCAACAATGAAATTATTCAGACACGATCCCTTTAAAAATTGGTCCATTTTAGAAAATAGATGAAATCCACAACAATTCAGTCAAGTAAAATATATCATCCCTTTGATCAACACTCACATTACACCTAGCAATTCGTCAAGGAAGGGTTCATTTATGTGATTAAACTTGTGTAGAAAAATAACCAACTGTGCTCACACCTGATGTCTAATTCTTATATCAGTTTATCATTATGAAAATACTAGTAGTGATGCTATTAAAACTTTGACAGACTACTTTGAAGAGATGCCTGATGTCTAATATTATCAAAGTCTGTGCACAAGATTGACTTTTTAATTACTTTAAATTGCACTTAGGTTTCATTTCTTTTATGAGCGTCACAGTCATCTGAGATCCAGAACATTAAGAGGCTAATAACAAAGGTGTTTGAATAAATTAAGCCTTAATTGCAAACTGCCTCTATAAATGTTAATTTGCATAGTGCCTTGCAGTTAATAATATCCTCTACACAAGCTGCTACTGCAGTCAGATAAAGATCCAGTTCTTCCCAGTTAATGAATTTCAAGTGACTTTTACAGGAATTTGAGATGAGTAAACTTCAAACAGTGGATTAATCCAAATGGCAACACATGACAGTGAAATATCAGCCTGTCAGCACTAAGTATACAAAGTCTGCTGATATTCTATATTTTTCTTATTGTCAACAAATCCAATGAAAATAATACTGACAGGAATATTAATAGTTGGTCATAAACCAGAGTATTACACCAATTAAAATTTTGGCCTAATGATGGCGCTAGTTGAGATGATAGGACTACCTTAGTTATTATGATGCATCCTGAGGGGAACATTAATCTCTGAACCAAATTTCATGGTAACTGACCAATAGCTGTCGCAGAAAAAAATCATTCTAAACATCAAGGGACTAGAGGAAAAGTCAGGAGATTACAGAAGTCACTATGCATCATCCACCATCTGGGCACCACAACTGTCTGCACAAATTTCATGGCAACCGATCGCTGATGAGATATTTCAGTATGGACCAAAGCGGCGACCTGACCGACAAGACACAGAAATCTCTAGAGCCATGTTTTCAGCAGCATGGCTGAGAACACTGGGCGACCTGCTCCTCCATTATGAAATAGAGAGTCCTAATTACTAATTATCATTAGCAAAGAGAAGCACACACAACATTCAGGTAGCCTCTCTACTTGATCCAGTGTTTGGATCAAGTAGCATCAGATTAAGTGGCTACAGGTGTTATTTCAGTGTGTCAGATCTATGACCCACTTTTAAAGATTTGTCTCAACTAGATGATTTTGGTGCAACAGAAACAGCATGGAAGTCAGAGATAGAGCTGCAACATCACTCCCAGATACTGTATATTCTATAGTTTACTATCATACAGTATATGACAAAGGAAACGCTTCGAATCCACACATTTTAGGAGCGAGAAACAGCAAATTTGGGCATTTTTTCTTGAAAACTAATCAATTAATTGCCTAATTGTTGCATCTCTACACAGAATATATAGAAAGACACTCTTCATGGGATTGCCAATAAGGAAAATATAGAATAATGCCAGCCTTATCTTTCAATAAATAACGGCCTACAATATAAAGCTACCGATGCTACTTTAATTTTAAACATTGTGCATGTTTACATTAAAGTTCAGATTGGTTTTTTTTTTCCCCCCTCAAAACAAAACAACCTCCTCCTCTTCATCCACAGCAACTTCAATACGCTGACAACCTGATCTCCCTCTTCTTCTCATACGCGACGACAGGCAGGGTAAAATCAATTGCTGGCAACAGGCCCTAACAGCGGATCACAAACAAGCTCAGTAATCTTGAATAATCCTTCACGCCTGCTGTGGGAGCAGAGAAAGAGGAAGCCTGAGTCTATTGAAACTGTTTCCTGTCTCTGTAACTGTTTTCAGTTCTGCCTCCCTAACGCAAGACCCGCCCGCTCTGCACCCCATTCCTCTCTGAGGTGCAGCCATGAAGAATAAAAAGCTGTTATGTTTAAATTGAAGTTGGCTTATATAAAATAAAATCTTGGAATCCTTTACTGTACAAGGCCTCGTTCCCTCAATAATGAAACAATAAACTGAACGCGAAGCATCTGTGATTACAGACACACCACAAAAGACACTTTGGCAGGTGAGCTGGTGAAAATGACTGAAAATAAGAATCGACTCAGCTTGTGTGAGGCTTGCAAGGTGAAAGTGAAAGTTTGATCTGGTAGGCAGCGCCGTGTCTGTTGAAATCTCCCCTCCACGATAATAACTTTTTTTTTTTTTTTGAAGTCAAGAATATACAGTAGCCACCGTCATCAAGAAGGGAACGAGAATCATTTCCAACTTTACAGTGTGCAGGCTGTAGTTTTAAGTGTGTGAAGGTGTGCATGTGAGTGTGTGTCTGCAGGCAACATGATCAGCAAGTAACCAGAAGTTGTCCAGAAAAAAGTCAGATGATATGTGGGCAGTCAAAAAGCTAGTCAGCTCAATTAATTTAATTACGACTGAACTTTTTTTTTTTTTTTGTGCATGTGTTTCTGACTCCTTCCTTGTTTCCTTACTGATGTAAACTGGTCCATGAGGCGAAAACATCCCTTTTATCAGGAAAAAACTACAAATACAAACCTACTGTAGGAGAATAATTATCCATTAATAACCGTTATTAGAATGATCTAACATTATGAAACGTGATATCTTTTATAGCTGCAACAAAAGACTATACAGATGTAAATAAAGCCTCTTGCGGCGCTCACAATCAGTTAGAACAGAGAAACAGATCGACCGCTTCACTTGCAGAGTGATTGCTCGGTGTGTGCAGGTGCGTACGTGTTTTTTTTTTGTTTGTGTTTTTTTTTGCTTTTGTATGTTGTTCTGCTGGTGTATTCTGGTGTATTCATGACTGTCCTCCTACTTGAGAACTTTGGCTACGGAGGAGTAGGCGATGTGGATCTCGTCGTCGATCGGGCAGGTGGAGGCAAACTCCTCCCGGGCGTACGCAGCGTTCAGGTACCTCCAGAGGTTTGTTAGATACTGAGGAATGCTGAATTGTCGGTATTTCAAACACACGACCTGGAGGGGAAAACCACAAGGGCGTCTGAGTGACACAATCAATAAGTCATTTTGACTTATGACTTATGGCATGACAAGCCTTCAGTTGATGAAATAAAAACGTGAAATAATCTATTCCTCCCAGGCCCCCTCCCCGTGCTGCAGGGCTTAAAACAGAAGATTACCTTCACGATGTGGAGCTTAGGCAGCAAGTTGCAGTCAGCCAGAGTAAGCTCTTGGCCATCCAGGAAGGGGCGGGACGAGGAAGTGACCTCATCAGCGCTATTCTCGTCGATCTCATCAGGAAGTGCAGAGCCGAGGTAGTCATCCAGCTTCTTCAGAGCTTTCAGCAGGCCTTTCTCTAGATCTGAACACACGTGGATACACAGAAAATATTAAAGTTCAACATGCAATCAAAGCTAAAGGGACAGTTTGTTTCTCCAAAAAGGAGAGAAAAGAGAAAACTACCATGACTTCAGACAAAGTCAACTTTTTTTTTTTGGTTTAAATGGCTGAAATGACCATGAAATAAAGAAATAACCACACCACCCAACCACAGTGACATTTCCAGTGAGATCACCCAGCACAAAGAGCGGCAGGTGACCTGTTTGCACTGAGGCAGAAAAGCTCAGAACATAATGTTATTAACTCGGACGCTCCCTGCTGGTTTTCTGTTCGTCAGAGAACGACAGAAGGAGCTCAGCAGTGTTTTGTTTTTATTTTTTACAGAAAATACCACCACGAATAAAACAAGGTTTATTAGAAATGTAGAAAAGTTTAGAGTCTAGACGAAGCAAGGATTTTATGATAATCAAGTTATATTTCTGATTTAGACAGATTATGCCTCACTTACTTTCATTGGCCTGAGGGTTTGAATTCTTGACGTAAGCAGAGAACTTGGAGAAGACGTCCATGCCTGCTGTGTTGGACTCTGGGTTGCGAGCAGCCAGACGAGGATACCTACACAACAGAGAGATGGATATTAATTCACACATCAATATATCACATCACATAAATTTCATATGAATTGAATGCATGAACTCTACAGAACAAAGCTTAGACCAAGAGGATGGTGGGCCATTCCTACAGGATGGCACAGAGACTCCAAGCCAAAAAATGTATTCAAATACATAAAACAAGCATCAGAGTCGGATCAAAATGTTGTGAATTTTCTATTGGTCTATAAAATGTCAGAAAGTGGTGAAATATGCAAGTAAAAACATCAAATAGTTTGTTTTGTCCAATTAAGTCCAAAGATAATCATCAACAGCAAATCCTCACGTGAGAAAATGAATGAATAGTTGCTGATTCAATTAATTAATTGCTTCAGTTCTGACAAAAACAAGGTAAAACAGAGATTACTTTGGAGGGCAGAGATTTTCCTCCAGGAACTCCTCAATCTTGTTGGTGTCAGTTTTCACCTCGCTGCCGTACAACAGGAAGGGAGGCTGAGCACCAGGAGCCAGGTCCTTCAAGATGTCAGGCTTCCTAAAGATAGACGGAAAAGGACACGGTCAGGCAGATGGGGGAGAAAAGGGGAATTAGACAAAAAAAAAAAAGAAAAGGAAGCTG